TTGGATCGTTTTGCACGAATGATTTAAAAATATATTTCTAATACAAGTTTTTGCCACAGTCTTTGAAAGGTAAAAATGGAGTAGGCCGTGCTTGGTAATTATTTAAGAAAATTTATTAACTTCAACTGCAACTGTTCACGAGTATAAAATGCGTGAATAATGGTCAATAAATGCAAATTGCACTTTTTGAATTGCAGTCTCAAGCGAATGCAGAAATTTGCAGTGCAAACAATGTTCACACAAATATAAATAACACTAAGTGAATATTAATTTAAATTTAATTTACAATTTCGTTAAGCACTCATAATAAAGAAAAATTAACTGGCTCCATAGTTTTATGATATATAGTGGCTCATACTGCTTTCTCGTCATACACTGAACAACTTTTTCTTTGTTTTTAATAAGCTTAGATTTTTAATTTTTATTTTTGTATTTTTGTACTTTTAGAGCTTGTCAGGTATGCACACCGAATGCCACGAATACCGTCTGGAGTCATTGCCAATGCGTGTTGGCGGATGGTGTCGAACGTGGCATATTAACAATCAATCGCATGATACCGGGCCCCAGCATACAAGTGTGCGAAAATGACAAGGTTGTCATCGATGTTGAAAACCATATGGAGGGCATGGAAGTCACTATACATTGGCATGGAATTTGGCAACGTGGTTCACAGTATTATGACGGCGTGCCATTCGTAACACAATGCCCCATACAACAAGGCAACACTTTCAGGTGAATTAATTTAAACTTTTACCTTAACATAAGTGCTTAAGTACTCATTGTAATTTCTAGATATCAATGGACTGGAAATGCCGGTACACATTTCTATCATTCCCACACTGGTCTGCAGAAACTGGATGGTATTTATGGTAGCATTGTAGTGCGGCAGCCACCTTCACGTGATCCAAATTCTCATTTGTACGACTTTGATTTAACCACGCATATAATGTTGATCAGTGATTGGTTGCATGAAGATGCAGCAGAACGTTATCCAGGTCGTTTGGCTGTTAATACCGGACAGGATCCTGAATCTTGTCTTATCAACGGTAAGGGTCAGTTCCGTGATCCAAATACTGGTTTCATGACGAATACACCACTGGAAATTTTCACAATTACACCTGGCCGTCGTTATCGTTTCCGTATGATCAACGCCTTCGCTTCAGTGTGTCCGGCTCAAGTAACAATTGAGGGTCACACAATGACTGTTATTGCTACAGATGGTGAACCAGTGCAGCCCGTAAATGTAAACACGATCATTTCATTCTCTGGTAAGTCGACAACAGTTCATGGTTTTATTTTTGCCTTTTTTGTAGTGTTTCTTTGTTGACTTGCATTTTTGCATTGAATGCAATTAATGCTGTAAAAATGCATGCAGGATGTAATGCAGATCTAAGGCAAGACAATGCATTGCATTTTAAAAGCAATTTATTAACACAATAGTGATTTTTAAATGTTTAACATTAATGCATTTTTTTCGTATTAAAATGTATGTTAAATGCTTAAGTTTAAACATATTTGTGCACACTAAGACACTTCTTATCCACAATCCACACGATTGTCAAGAAAATGTTTGCAACAAGCATTGCATATTTATTTTAACTACATTTCTTACTCTATTTGCTATTTTAAAAAAATGATAAAAATATTTAAAATGCTACAGCATAGGTTAATTTTTTACATTTCACAACTTTAACTTTCCATTAGGCATTAATATAAAGAGACTATATTTAGTTCCGATCTGCTCAGTTTTTAATATTTCCTTGAAAATATATCTGTTAAATAAAATTTCCTGTTTAATATTCTCAGCTTTCTGTGATATTTATTATTTTTCCATACTTTTAATCGGTTCACGATGCTCTGCGGACCAAAAACTTATTTTTAAAATATCTGATCCACAATTAAAACTCTAATTAATTGTTAGATAACAACAATGCGTCGTTAATGTTACGACATTTCTGACATACGTCAAACTAAGTATACAGTTTATCTTTTTGTATTTGAAAATGCACCTTACTTTAAAACAAAGCGAAAAATATCGGTCAATTTCTCATAGACACATCGTCGGTCTTCGATATCATCTTATCGAATTAAATATGACGGTATTCTATCACCATATATAGAAGAGGAAAAGACATCCTACTACATTCTGTTTAATTGTCCTAATGTACACCCAATCCGAAAAAGATACCTTATGGGAATACTTGCCTAAGGTAATAAAACATTTTTTAACCTTTATTTAACAGACAGGGTTTTGTTTCATCATGAACTTATTGCTTCACAAAAAGTTTATTTCAGACCTTTTGTTCTATAACTATTTCTCTCTGTCACTCTCCCTCCATCGCTCTGATTATTCTGACTGGTTGAGCAATATAAATCTGCATGTATGTCATTTATACAGATATATAAAATATTCGTATATAATTTATAATTTTCATGATAGAAATAGTGTTAGATAGAGATAGATATAGTGTTAAAGTATTTTTTAAACCTGTAGTACTTTAATTTTTATTTATACTGAAAAAAATCTAAATAATCTTTTTACAATAACTTTTTTTTACAATAATATGAGCCTAGGTAAAACCTAGTGTGGGATAGAGATAAGCCCCCCAGCCATTATAGAGTAAAAGTGCGTAATAGCACTAACTCAAGAAGAAGAAGAATCAAGAAGAATGACCAACTATTGTCTTTTTAAGTCATGAAATGAAATATAACACCAGGAAATATATGTTCTCTGAAACAATAATAAATTATAGAGTTTTAAAATCCTTTTGATAATTTAGATCTATTTAAGACTGCATCTTATTTAATCGTATCTTCCACTTTCGCCAGCATTTATTTTATCTCTCCATATAATTATAGTTTTCAAATTAATGTTATGATAAAACTAATAACTATCACAATTCCATATAAAAATTAGTCCCTATACGACAAATACTAAATTTTGCATAAAACAATACCTTTACCTTCAAACTTTAAATAGGAGTCCAGTTAATAATCGAATAAAGATAAGGATCGAATAATGAGCCAATAAAATTAAACAAAAATTACAAACACGTAAAATCGTACAAACAACAACAAATTCTATTATTAATTTGTGTATTTGTGTGATGCACATACATTTGCATTTGGTGCTCTGCCTTTAACTTTTGCCTACGAATTTTCCGAATAATTTCAATGCGAATAATAATCGTAAATCCGGATATTTGAAGACTCCGGATTTTGACTCCGGACTTGGATTTTTTTTGTAAATTCGAAGACTTCGTTCATTATCCGATTAATCGGATTCTCCGAATACTTCGTTAAACCGAACAGCACAATTTTAAAGATCTACTTTCAGTTTAAATTTGCTCAGTTTTTAGACTTTTCCACAAGCATTTAATCTCTTTTCCTTACAATAATAATCAGAAGAATTCTGTAAACTACTTACATACTTACTTGATTGTATATGGAAACCCATTGTCGGGTTTCAGTCAGACGCGGCACTTCTCTCCATGTGAATGTGAGTGTTACCTCAACTTGATCATTTCATCACAGACACAAATTATCTCTAACTGTCACTATAATCCCTTTTTAACTGAAGCATCGTGGATCTTTCTCACTATATGACGAAACCAGCAAATCAACTACTTAGTTTGGGTCAATTAAATATTTGTTTAAAATATTTCTTATCTGTTGAAATATTGCATCACTCGTAATAAATAATCTCATAGGATATGATGTACTATTTTCACTTCTAGTGATATAAACTAGAAATTTATTGTGATTTTTTGACAGACGGTGCGACTTGATTAGAGCGCAGGAAATATAAAAACTTTCTATTATTTCCGAGCTCACTTCTAATACCCAAATACCACAATAACTACCGGTAGGGGTTTTTATCCAAATAAATTTTTCATTTCCATAAATTATAAAAAAACTATTGAGGTTTTGTTAGCATTTGTCATAATTATTTCGTATTTACATGAGAAAATACCACAAACCATTTCATAGCTTCGTGGAAAGCATTTTTCTATGGAAAAAAAATATGTACCTATATAGAAATGGAAAGTGCTATAAACTTTACTATAGCGGAATGAGCATGTGTCGGAGTCATTTATATTATTTTTAAATTAAATAAAAATTGGTTTTATTATAAGACGCAAAATAGGTATTTTTATGGAAAACATTACAAAACACATAAGCTCACATAAAAGATAATTTCCATAATTATTATATCACTCCGAATTCATAACAATGATATTGTTTTGTTAGTTTGTTAAGTACGCATTGTTAAAATTACATAAAACATCACGAATATATAATTTCAACTTAAAATGTTCAATAAAAGTTTAAAATAATGCAACACCCAGTTTCGTGACACACTAAACCTAACCTAATCCAGCCAAAACGAACCAGTTCAGCCAAGAAACTGGAACAAAAAAATGAAAATTAGAGTTTCGTTGAGCAATGCAAACCTAAAGACTCAAAGACAATTAAAGCCAAAACGGCTGTCGATTTGCTGGAATCGAACAGTTGCATGTGCGCATGCTAAATGCCCAAATGCACCAAATGCACCAAATGCACCAAATGCACTTCAGTGCATCGAACAATAAATGATTTGGAAATGTTTCTTAGAAACGATTGCTTTAAAGGGGCGTTCGTAAATGGACAGAAACATTTCCGTTGCTCACAGTTGAGACAAGTAAAAACATTGTTTATGAGTGAAATGATACCAAGCCAACCACTTGCAGGCATTATCCGCGTTCCTTGATATGATTTTAAGCAGGAAATCTCAAAGAAACTAGATCGTATAGACAGCGGGAAAGTAATGACACTTCAACTATAATTACGTTTTCATAAAGTAAGTTTTTGCATGGCAAAAATTAAACCAAAAACATAAAAGTATCTTATATCTGCATAACTGCAGTATCTGCATTTTGTAATTTTTATAAGTTAATTTATAATAATATAAACTTAAGTATTTAAAGGATTTCTTAATTGCATGCTAGAAATTATATATGTCACTAGCACTATTTCAAATTTCCATTCCCAACCACAAGTCACCGCATTCAATCTAGTGCAATTACACTTAAGTTACTCCACCCTTATCAAATTCTTGGAATGCCAATCGCAACAAACACTTTGGGTCAAGTTCAAATTATAAATTCAGCAAATCAAAAATATTGCATAGTTCCGTCTGAAACCGAACTTCATAAATTTGTCAGCCAGTTATGCTTTTGTATCGCAAAAGTATATCTAAGGCAGCAAATTCAGAGAACACTGCAGAGCAATTACTTATTACTCACTGCCGTTTTCCACTAACAAATCTGTTTCCATTAACAAAAAAGAATTAGCATAAAAATTAGCACATAATGTAGTTCGAACTACGAAAGAAACTGAGCCAAGCCAAACCGTCTAAGTCTTTAAAAAAGACTAATACTTTATGGCCTTATATGAGAACAAGAGCATGGAGGCTAGAGTGTTGAAAACAATAGCTACGGCAGCGAATTAATTGAAATGCCACAGCTGTTGCGCGATTACAGAACAAATTATCGGTGCTCCTAATAAAAGCTTATCTACAGCTTGTCTAGTATCTTTTAACGCTTGTTCTTAACTGATTTTTCAATGATTTTTATTTGCAGGTGAACGCTATGACTTTGTCATCAATGCCGATCAGCCCGTCGGTGCTTATTGGATACAACTGAGAGGTTTAGGTGAATGCGGTATACGTCGTGTGCAACAATTGGGTATCTTGAGATATGCGCGCGGACCCTACCAACCACAGTCAGCCCCGCCAACATATGACGTTGGCTTGCCGCAGGGTGTGGTAAGTTTGTTTTTCATAGATTTTCTAAATGTTTTCTGTCTTACATGCTAGTACCGATTTTTCTCATGTCAGTTTAAATTAGTTATGCATACATAAATACAAATCAACTAGTACGAATCATAAGAAATGTAGGAGAATAGTTTAAAGGTGTAACTGAAATTAAGTTGTTACTTAATAGCCTTTGAAGGCAATTGCAAGAACTTAATTAAGTTCTTTTAAGTGTTACGTCGGTAAAACAAATCAGTACAGAGTTATTAAAATATGACAGCAACGTCACCCTTTATTACTTTCAATCACAATAAACTACAATTGAAAGGAGAATCGTCATATATCTTCTATAAGGTTAGGTTTTACTTACACATAACTAAAATAAATATAATATATTATTCACTATAAAGTTAGGAAGAATAGACAAGTATTTAAGATAAATAAAATTATTATGTCTAGATACGCAATCTATATGTTTGTCTTAATTTTAAAACACTAGAATTATAATATTAGTAAACGAAATCGACTGATAAAAACCTCGAAGACAAGACATTTTTAAAATTTATAAAATTAATTTTGTTTTTTAGCAGACTTCTTTGATTAGTCTTAGTATATTTATATATATTTTTATAAATGTTATACAGTCAAACTGTCATAACTCGAACTTCTATAACTCGAATTTTCTATAACTCAAATAGAGTGCAACAGGGTTTAGAGAGTAAATTACAAATGATCACAAATAATTATCACAACTAGAACCACGAGATGAAAGCTAAGCCTGATTTCTATCATTTTTCTATAGCTTTAGATATAACTTATAATTGATTAGTAGTACCTTTACCTCTTTGGAACTAGCGTTTACTAAGCAGGTTAAACAACGAAGCTAAAAACCCTTTGGATTAGGCTTCTATATTCAATACTACAAAATAAAACCTTTTTCATGTATATTTTGGACTTTATAGCGGGACTTTATGTAGCATGTAATCTTCACGGTCCTCTGCATGTAAGAGGATATTGTAGATCATATATAACGATGTAATATCATCAAAACACAATAATTGGTGTTAAAACCTTTCAACCAAAGTTTGTCTACTGTTATCGGGTTATAGGGATTTGTATTGCTTTGAATCGCTATGTTAAACATAAAACTTTTCCTCTGTATTAGTTGAAGATTCTAGCAACAGATTTTCGATGCGATTATTTCTTGAGCGTATAACGCATTGTAATAAATTATAGCTTTGCGATCCTACCCAACACCTCACATGGAACTAACTGTTACAAAGTAATTCCATATGGAAATCAAACGATCAAAAAACCGCCATACATTTTTTGCCCAACCTAGCTGCAACACATATGTTTTTCTTGCAGAAGTTTACTCTTTCCTCAATTTTTTTTCTTTATTACTGGATAATGACTTGAGAACTTTGCAAGACAACAAATGTATATATGTAATTGAATGTACCTTAAGTGGATGTAATGTAACATCAACACCATTATCGTGATGATTTCAAAAAACTTAATCAAATTATTTCCTAACAAAAACTGTACCTAATTCTACAAGTCATTTTATGCACGTTACTATGTTGGAGTAGACTTAAGACTCTTAGGAGTCATTATCTGGTATAAAGTTAGGATTTACAAGCTAAGATTTGTGTGGATTAAATTTAATTAGTTTTTCGATTTAACTTAAATGTATAAAAAAAAAATTAAATCAGTTAAAGGTTATTTACCATATTATTTTGCTTTACAATTTTTATGGTGTTTAGTTTTGTAAACAATAGTATTTATTTTTTTGTTAAACAACAAAACTCCAGCTATTGATATTAAATAAAATAGGCGTGTCTATGTTACTAACAAATCGAACAAAATAATTTATTTACTACGGAAATCGAATTCACACTCAAGATACACAGTAATTTCGATTGCAGTTTATAATATAAAAAAAATAACAACTTACATTCATTATTAGTTTTATACGATGTACAATTGGTAATCAAATTAGCATATTAAGAAGTTAAACGAGTACAAATATAGTGAATAATAATAATAATAATAAAATGAGCATAACGAAAGCATCTATAGAATACCATAGGGTACGAATGGGTATGTTCAGTGTATGCCAAAATCAGAAGTGCTTAAGCGATCTAACGAAATCGTGAGTTTGTGGTTTGTTGAAGATAAAACAAAGAAAAAACTATAATAATTTTAAATTTTCATTTATTATTTATAATTATTTTTTCAGATTTATTAACTTAAATGTATAATACACTAAAATATTTCCGTCTTAAGTTGTAAATACAAATTCTTTGTCCCTTTTCACAATATGACTTCGAAAGGGTATAGAGTTTTAGTTAGTATTTGTGTAAAATATACTATGTAAAGTAATTGCTGAAATATGTATATATGTATATAGTTACTCTTAAATGTTAAAACTTAAAATTATATGAACCAACTACAACAAATTCTTTTTCTTTTCTTTTTTTCTTGCCTACAAAAATATGTATTCCAATCCAAAAAAAAAAAATATTGCAAATCAACCACAACACTTAAAATCAAAAACAACCAAAATGCTTCCTTATAAATATTTTGAAATCCAAATCAATCCAATACTAAACAACACCAATCAAAACTGGTTCCAAACAATGCTAAACAAAATGTGCACACGTTAATTTAAAAATGGTTTTTAAATCCATCTTGTAAATATAAATTTTACTTGAACGTTCTGTAAATTCAAAATTTAAATTCCAAATTGTTGAACACTTAATTGAAATTGAAAAAAAAAAAAACTAAGGTCATGAATCCTCTGGACGCACAATGTAATCGCGATCGCAACGACGCAATCTGCGTCAGTCAATTGAAAAACGCACAAGAAATCGATCGTGGTATTTTGGCAGAGAAACCTGATGTGAAAATCTTCTTACCATTCCGCTTCTTTGTTTATCGACCCGAAGAACTGTTCCAGCCAAACACCTACAATCGTTTCTTAGGTAAGTAAATACTTTTATTCACGTTACATATTTTAATAACAAAAATCTATCTTCCAATAGTTGCACCCACCGGTGATCACGTTATATCGCTTATCGATGAAATCTCATACTTATCAGCACCTGCGCCATTATTATCACAGTATGATGACATCAATCCTGACCAATTCTGCAACGGTGATAATCGTCCAGCTAATTGCGGCGCCAATTGCATGTGTACACACAAAATTGACATTCCATTAAATGCAGTCGTCGAAGTGATATTAATCGATGAAGGTAAACATCATTAGCATATATATACAATATAATCTTAAACTTAATTAACTATTTCAAATTATTTCTCACAAAACACAGTTATATATAATATTGCATATCTCCCCAGTTAGTTAGTGACACCTCAGTTTCACTATATATACGATCGTAATTATGATTGCCTTGTGCACATGAGCTCATGTGATTCAAAGTGAAAACCGTAACAAATTAAAAACTTAATTAAATTAAATCTCAGCTTATGCATTAATCCATTTCAAATGACTTTAACATACTTAAGAATACCACTCGAGCAACCCTTTCAATTGGACTTGTTTTGATGCTCTTGAAATCTTTTTGAAGGCTTGGTCAAGTTAAGCACTTGCACTTACACTCGAACAGCTCGTAACAAATTAAAATCAAAATTTTTGCACTAAAATATCAATTCTGTTTATTGAAATGTTCAATTGAGAAACTAAAGTTAATGCAAAACTGTTCAAAAATTGTGAATCACATTAAAAATCACGCCAACGTCCACCTCAACTTCAGCGCTAGCCTCAGTTCGAATTGTGCCCAACCTAAGCGAAAAGTAAAATCCACAATTTTGTACTATAAAAACGCCTTCAGATAATTATCGAACTGAAAACCTTTTCATTTTAGCGCATAATTTTAATATTTACACTCTTTAACAAAATAGACTATGAAAACAGCAACAACAACAACAACAATCGCAAATTATAATTTAATACCGATTTAAACAAATTCAAATTCGTTTTATGCTCATTTGTAGAGTTTTCGTATCTGCAACTGGGTTTGGTACAATATTTGCCCTCAACGTACTTGTAAAATTTATTTTGCTTTAAATTTTATTTTTAATCGTCGAATTCGATCGGTAAATGGGCCCCAGGCACCAAACGAACCAAAACAAACTTATTCATTTGGAGTATTTTTTTATTGGAGGTTGGAAGTTTTGTAAATCGCATCTATTTGCATTTTCACGATTTACTTCAATTTTTAATCTCTTTAATAAACAAATTTAGTGTTTCTTTAGTAATTAAGCAATTTGTGAAACATTTCCTCTTTCCATATATTAATAGATTATTTTATAGATTAACTACTGACATGGGTTAACCATGCCGTAATCCTCTATTTAAATAATATTTGCTAATGAAAATCTCATTTTAAACGTAAATATTACTATAAACTATATGAAACGGAACTATTTAGTTTCGCAAGCGGTAGAGCCATAACCCGCTTAAAAAAACGAGCAATAGCCTTTTATTCCCTTTTAAATGACTTTAACATACTTAAGAATACTACTCAAACAACCCTTTCAATTGGACTTATTTTGATACTAATGGTGCATGACACCCTTAAAAAAACGAGCTATAGCCATTCCCTTTCCAACGATGCATCAGAAATAATATTTTATAGTTTAAATATGACCCATAATCCTATATTTAAAAAAGATTTGATAATGAATATTTCATTTTAAACGTAAATATTAATGGAACTGTTAAATTTAGTTACATGGAATCCATAGAGTTTGTCCTCTGAAACTGAAACCCAAAAACGAGGGCTCAGAATGAAGAATGTTGAGCTTTTAAAAAATGTGTTTAGATTATCTACCAAACTCATTAGAGTCTAAGCTTTCATAGGGAACATGAAGAACCGTAGTCAATGGGGAATATATGGAGCGTTGGACTTTCCTTAAAAATCCGACGGAATAACATATCATATTATTTTATGAATAAATTTATATAGTTATATAGATCCCGTGGAGTTTGTTCTCCATGGAGTTTTTTAAAAAATATGATTGGGTTATCTATTAGACTTATTCGCTTCTAAGTTTTCATCGCGAACATAGTAAACTGTAGCCAATGGGAGAATATGAGGCGGTGGACGTTCTTTAAAAGTTAGACCGAAATAATATTTTATATTATTTCTGAATAAATAAATATATGTAGTTATATGGAGCTCATAGAGTTTGTGCTTAGTGCTAATGTGTTCTCTGCCTTTTTGGCATTATGTACATAATTATTATGTACATAACTTTAACATTGTGTATATTTTTTATTTATTTTAAATTTATTCACATAATCTACCTACAATGCACGACCAAGCAACAGCAATAGTCCACAGGGCTACAGTATTTGGGCTACAGTAGCCCAAATATTTTGAATACAGTAACCAGCGATTTTCGCTCAATCTTTTTTGACATTTTTAACTACTGTATCCAACGATTGTTGCCTTATACCCAACGCACTATTAAGCAATGTCCATGGCTACGATCAAATCCCTAACTACAATAAGCCAAACACTTTTAAGACTGTAGCCAATGGCTTTTGCTCAATCATTTCTGACATTTCTAACTACTGTAGCCAGCGATTGTTGTGTATGTCCAACGCACAATAAAACTACAAAAACTGGCTACAATAGCTGGAAATGTCAAAAATGAAGTTTATGTAATACGGCTCACAATTGAACTACAGTCGCTGGCTACTGTGGCATATAATTGAACTACAGTCGCTGACTTCTATGTGGCATATGATTGAACTACAATCGTTGGCTACTATGTGGCATATGATTGAACTACAGTCGCTGGCTACTCTGGCATACAATTGTGAACTACAGTAAGAGTTGTCAGCTACTGTAACTGGCAATTGTAGTTGTGCATTATCATGCATGAAGCCAGCCCTTTCACATTATAATTAAAAAAATTAAGACTGTAAACTTTATTAAAATACACAAGTAATATTTATAAACCAGGATAACATATATCTATTTTTCTCTATTTCTTATATTAATCAATATTGTTAAATTTAAATATTAAATATATTTTCAACTAGAAGGTTTCGAATAGAAATGAAAATGCAAGATCACAAATTTTAGTTAATTTAAAAATTTTTCAAAAAAAAATTATTGTTATTGTCTTTTCATTTCTATTCGAACCATTCTAACTTTTAAACAGTTTCTTTTCGTCATAAGACGCGTCACTTTCGGCAAAAAATAATTAACATTAATATATTTTTAATTTTTTACAGTACAACAACCAAATTTGTCGCATCCATTCCATTTGCACGGCTACAGCTACAGTGTTATAGGTATTGGTCGCTCTCCAGACACAAATGTCAAAAAAATCAATCTTAAGCATGCATTAGATTTGGATCGTCGTGGTCTCTTGCATCGTGAATACAATTTGCCACCATCGAAAGATACATTAGCAGTACCGAATAATGGTTACATTGTGTTAAGGTTTAGAGCTAATAACCCCGGTAAGTTCAATAAAATTTGACTACATACACAGCACTTCTTTATTTCTTTCATTGTAGGTTTCTGGTTGTTCCATTGTCACTTCCTGTTCCACATAGTTATCGGCATGAATCTTATACTGCAAGTTGGCACACAAGCAGATTTGCCGCCAGTTCCACCAGGTTTCCCAACGTGTGGTGACCATACGCCTCCGATACCCATTAACTAAACTTTAGGTGTTTGAATTCCAAAATTTTTTAAATTTTAAGCAAAAATACTAAAATAGACGAGGAAATCTTTGAGAAACTAAAAAATTTAAACGCTTTGTACAGAACTCGATGCAGCGTTTCTCTTTTGTAAATTTATGCCTTAAAACACCACAAAACACAACGTCTGTAACAGCAGCAAAGGACGTGACTGGCAAAGCACAAATTTAAATATTAAAATAATTAAATATTAAAATAGTTTTTATAAATTAGCGCTTTTAATAAAATTGTTTCTTCTACTGTGGAGCGCAGCTTGAAGCGAAGAGAAGAGGAGAGATTTGCTTCAAGCAAAATCGAAGTCTTTTAGCGCTTCTCGCAACGTTTTTTCTTGAAGGGATCAGCAATTTTATGCGCAACAGTCATAAATACACTGAAAGAAATATTTTTGTAAATTTCGTCTTTCACTCGAAAACGCAGAGGACGCGTTTCTGAAAATATCAAAATTTACAAACATTTTTCTTTGGTGTGTGCTTAATAATTTTTTTTTTAATTTGTTAATTTGTTAATTTTATTTTTTATTCTTTATTTCTTATTCAGTTCTCGTTTTTTTTTACTTTCTTTTGTTTATGTTTATTGTAAATTAATTAAGTATTTAATTTTTATTTTGTATCATTTGAATCATTATTGTTTTATGCTTTTATGTTATTATGTTTTTATTTTACATTTGATATGTTTAATTATAGTAATTTACCCACATAAGTTATAAAAAATTTTGAATATGTAAAATTCAACTAAATTTGTATGAAACTAACTGAACTTTCCTCCGCAATCGTTTTTATCTTAATCTTACTTCTCGAAATCTTTTAAAAATATTGTATGTATTTTGTAAATAATTTTTATATTTTTATTTTGCTATCAATAGAGAGTTGAACACCTCAAACAATCCTTAAAATTTTTTATTAAATAACTTTTATACACTTTCCTATAAATTTTATTAATTTTTTTATTGAAATGCGTTGAGTGGAACTATACCTAATTCATTAAACGCATTCTTTTGTATGTATGCTAAAATAAATGTAAAAATATTTTTTATAGCCTTATATATAAATAAAATAATATAAATAAAATATACAGAAAATAATATCTTTTTCAATCAATCCCTCTTTGTGTACTTTAATTAATGACTAGCATAATCCACCCGCACCACAACTCAGTTCATAAATAAGTAAAAATAAGTTACTTAAAAACCTCACACATAAACCATATATCTTGTATATAATATAATAATTTTATATTTACCAACTTATACTTGAATTTAATAATATTATATTAAAATTTGCTGCCCGATTTTTCTTCTCGATTTTTCACAGATACTTAATCCATTGGATGCCATTTGTAATGTCAAGCGCGCCGACGCAGTCTGTGTTTCGAACCTCAAGAATGCCAAACATATCGATAAGAGTGTGCTCGTGGATCGGCCGGACGTAAAAATATTTTTGCCATTTAGATTTTTTGTCTACGATCCAAAGCACCTATTCCTACCAAACACTTATAATACCTTCTTAGGTTTGTATAACTCTTCATTTTAATTTTAACATTAAAGTAATAACAAAATTAATATTAAAAAATGTGGATCACAAAAAATCGATATAGCGATCAGTGATCTATTAACAATTAACTTGAACCTCGAACAAAACCGAAAACTTGCTCTTATTTGATTTACAGAAATAAGTGGCAAGCAATGGAAACATCCAAACTTGGAAAAAAAACTATTAACTCAAAAAATAGATATAGAAAAAATGAATTAAATTTCTTCATATGTCAGATTAATCGATATATTTTTTTCCTTTGTTTTTCATATATGCTTTTTTGGCAATAGGTAATTAATCTAATATACCAGTATTAGAAAAACAACCTAAAATATTTATAAGTCAGAAGGGTTCGAATAGAAAGACAACACTAAAAATTTTAATTAATTTATTGAAATTTGGCTCTTTTTAATCCAAAAAATGTATTTAATATTTGGCCATACAGATTCAACTGTAGATTGAATTACCTTTTATTCAGCAAGATAATAATTCTCTCACATTAAGGTACTGATAATTAATAAAAACGATAAATCATATCAAAATATGTGTAAGTAGTAACAAAATAGGATAAACTTAATTACTTCTGTATTTAAGGTCATAAATTAATCTCATTTCCTAAATAGAATATGAAATATTTCTATTTATGATCACTGATCGACGCAACAATTTTTTTTTTTTTTGAATATCTTAGAAAATTTTTGCGACTAACCATTAACAATTACAGTTGCACCCACGGGTGATCATTTAATATCGCTGATCGATGAAATATCATACATATCGCCACCTTCACCAATGCTTTCACAAATTGAGGACATACCACCAGAACAATTCTGCAATGGCGATAATCGACCACCGGAATGTGCACCAAATTGTCAGTGCACCCACAAAGTGGACATACCATTAGGCGCGGTGGTTGAAGTAGTGCTTGTTGATGAAGTACAACAAATTAATCTAAGTCATCCCTTTCATTTACATGGCACAGCATTCTACGTAATGGGTTTGGGACGTTCGCCGGACAAAGCTATTAAGAAAATTAATTTAAAACATGCTCTGGACTTAGATCGTATGGGTATGTTGAAACGTGACTTTTCAAAGCCCTCACTTAAGGATACAATAGCAGTACCAAATAATGGTTATGCGGTTTTACGTTTCAAGGCTGAAAATCCAGGATATTGGCTTTTTCATTGTCACTTTCTCTTTCATATAGCAATTGGCATGAACCTAATTTTACATATCGGCACACAATCAGACTTACCGCCCATACCACCTGGTTTTCCACGCTGTGGTGACCATACGCCACCAATCACTTTTTATTAATAGGTTATGCGTCTTCGAACCGACAAATGCAAACAACGGATCTGTACCTTTTGTTATAATATTTGTAATTTTTAAAAGTTTAATATTAAGATTTAAAATAAGAGTGGTGTATATAAATTATATTCAATTATTTGCAGGCTTGTACCAAATTTTGTATATATTATGTAAAATGTTTTAATATGTACAATATAATGCTTATTATATATTTATACCTATATGTTTAATTACAATACGATAATTAATACTTCTTATTAGAAACAAATTCTTAAAGACCGATGTTCTAATACTCGAAGAGCTTGTATTATAATATGAAAAAAACGTAATTTATTTTATTTAATATATAATAATTTAATATATAATAAATTTCTATACATTTATATATAATATTTGTCTAATTTAAAGCAAAATCCATAAAAACTGGTAAGTCTCTTGAAATAACCCATAAATCACCATTTACTTCCCTGATGCCGTTAATCGAAGTTCAACGGATCGAAATCAAATACCTGGAATGATAAAATATATCGAATGGGAATTGTAAATACAAAAGTCACTTTTCCAAATCATTCGAAATCTTATAATTAAATTAATTTTTAATTATTTATAATTAAAATAATATTAAATTAATCATAGTTTTTATAGCTGAGTTATGAGTACTACTTGAAGTGATGGAATAATCACTAAAACGATATCTCAAATTATACTCATTGAGACTTGACACTAAAATTGAATTCAAACTGTATGAGTTATGTATTTCAGTTGCTTCTGATGGTGATCATCTCATTTCTTTGATCGATGAGATCTCCTATGTTGCGCCACCCTCGCCAATGTTGTCACAGTATGAGGATATACCAGCAGAATATTTTTGCAATAGTGATAATCGCCCCTCCGATTGTGGTGAAAACTGCCAATGCACACATAAAATAGACATACCACTCGATGCAATTGTAGAAATCGTCCTCGTTGATGAAGTTCAACAGGTTAATTTAAGTCATCCGTTCCATTTGCACGGCACCTCATTTCATGTACTCGGTTTGGGTCGCTCGCCCGATAATAATGTGAAACGTATGAATTTGCAACACGCTATCGATTTAGACAGAAGAGGCATGTTAAAGCGCAGATTCGTCAAGCCTGCCTTGAAGGATACAGTAGCAGTTCCTAATAATGGCTATACAGTCATCAGATTTCGTGCTGATAACCCTGGATTTTGGTTATTTCACTGTCATTTTCAGTTTCATATTGTGATTGGTATGAATTTAGTGATACAAATTGGTTCTAAAAAGGATTTACCACCAATTCCACCTAATTTTCCACGCTGCGGAAATCATGTTCCTCCGATTTTAATGTGAAATTATATTGTCTAATGTAATAATACTATCGTAATATATGAAGTTGGTCGTGTCATAGTACTAATGTTGCAACCTTACCAATCAATCGTTTTTAGATTTATTTTATGTACTAAATGCAACCAAAATTCTTTAAAATTCTTTAACAAAGAGTATTGATCTGAAGATTTAGTTTAAACGTCTGATAGTCAACATATTTTATGAGCGCAATGATCTGTAAAACTAATGTAAACGCTGAATAAATAAATTAATTTAATGTAAAAATATTTGTGTTATTGTTTTGCTTACTTTAGTTCTACTCGACATGAGTACAAAAGTCGGAGATGTGTAGGAAAACTTCGAAGCTGGTTTTTTCTAATACAACTATTGTGTTTTATAGAACTAATTAGTAGTAATTAATAATTAGTTTAATATAGAGGTTCTTATCGAATGGCTGCTTGTCATTCCATTAATTAAAAATAATAATAAAAATTTGTTGTTGTGATTTAGTACTGTTCGATAAAACTAATTAGTGTTCTGATATTAACGCAAGAAAAGAGACAGCATTTAACGCGTACCTCTAAAGAACGATATCGGCGAAAGAGAACGGAAGAGAAACGTATTTTCAGCGAAAAAAGGAAGGAAGCAGGAAGATATGAATACGAATAGATTAAAAAGCTGGGTGAAATGAATATGACTAGAAAATTCTACAAAAAAATCAGAATCTTGACAAATGATTATACTTAATTACTTTAAAAACATTACGGCAAACTAAAGAAGATTGATTATTTGTTGCATGTAAGGTTGAAAACAAATGGAATTTTAGGTATTGTTTGGATGCCATAAATAGAAAACAGCTAGAAGTGAAGAACTACCTTAGCCAGGTTTTTATGACTTACAATATGAAATACAATATGCTGTTCATCTATTAGAAGTCTATAATGCAAAATAAGACTTTGTATTTTAAAAGACGTATACTAGTAACAGAATTTGAGACAAAGAAATGTTTCGCAATAGCAAATTTAATGAGCTACTATCTTAAAAGAAGCTCTAAATTTCAAACCCCAAAATGTTATTACAAAATGTAATAACAGATAATGGTTTTTATCTGTCGTAGCTAAATAAAGAAACAATATTTAGTTGTTGAATAATGTGGACTCGAAGGTAATTAGAATTCTCTGTGGCATTTTGTCTCTCTAACTAGTCCTCATCCGAACTAAATATAGAAATACATTTAAGCTACATGTTCCCCACAGAACTTATATGTGAAAGACAGAAATAAATTTTAAATTTATCCAGGATCGTGAAATATTATATATATTAGAATGTAGAAAACCAAAAACTTCATATATGAGAGATATGATATTAGATAGATAGATAGATTTATGATATTACTTCATTAATTCCGGCTCTTTTCCACATCAAATTACATTAAAAAAAATTTTTCTTAAATTATAAATTTACTGATATAGAGTACTTACTAGATTTATAATAGGTAAAAACAAAAACTTTAATGTGGAAACTGAAACTTTAATGTGATATAAGTACCACGTCTATAGAAGTAATAATTGGTGATCAGAGATTTATTAATAATTAAAAAGATATATAAATAAATTTTTTAAACACCGGCTGCTTAAATATATGAACACCGCCTGCGACGGCAAAATTGCACGAATTACACTTCGAATTGCTTCCTCATCGACCGTATAGTCCAGATCTGACCCCCAGCGACTACTGGCAAAAAATGTTGGCCGGTAAGAAACTCATCTCAAATGAAGAAGTAATTGCTGAAAGTGAAGCCTATTTTGAGTTAAAAGACAAATCCTTTTACAAGCACGGCATCGAGAAGTTAGAGAAGCGTTGGAATGATTGTATTGCAGGATGGTATTGAAGGAGATTATATTGATGAGTATAATCGATTTTTGGCAGAAATATATTTTTGTTGTTTCGTTACAACAAGAATCGTCTACTATATTAATTTGTAAACAATTTGTTCTATAGGGGTATTCACTGTGTCTTTCAAAGTCCTTTTAAGACTGTAAGAACAGAATTGGAGCATCAGAAGGAAACAGCTGTTTTTGCACCATACCACATTCACATGAGAAGCACATGAGGTATATCAAAATTGCAAGCAATTGCAAAAAACTTTGTGCATGTACTTTGTTGTTGTCCGTTGAGTAGAGACTCAGTTAGTCGGTATGTATCGTAAGAACTTAAGCGAACTTAGCCAAAACGAAATGCACAGATGTGGCTGGTTGTGCATTTCGCTTTAACTTATACGGCATTTACACTGGCCGAAAATGGCTCATTTTGGTCAAAAATCGAAAATGAGAAGTGAATGGCTCATTCTTGCATATAAAATTTCAAGCGCGAATGAACCATTCCATCACATTCTGTATGAATGCGTCCCAACGATGTTCGCATGGGTTCTAAATATGTTCCAAATGCAAAGGAATTTGACATATACAAAAAAAGGTAAACAAATGTTTGGTGGTTGCATTTTCTTGAAAATGATGCACCTCTTTTTAGAACTTCTACTTTCTAACAAGTAATTAATTGAAGTTAAAAATATGTTTTAAATTTATATTGTAAGATTTGAAGGCATATTGAAATTTCATGCACCATTTTTTGGGAACAGGCCAAAAATCAAATCAACAGGCAAGTTGAAAAAATCAGCTGTTTGAAATGAGAACAAACGAATTACAACGAATGTAAACACTTTCAAAGGGCTCATTCAAAATGAGCCGTTTTCGGCCAATGTAAACGCCATATAAGTTCTTACGGTACATACCGTCTAACTGAGTCTTAATACTCTTCTCTAAATGCAACTAATTACATTACAATATAAAGTAATTCGTAAATATATGAAAGGAATTAAATTTATTGATTTTAAAAATATTTCTATACAAAAAGTAGTGTTAATTATAATATAAAGTAATTCGTGAGTAACTATGTGTGAAATATATTGTTTAACTTCAAAACGCCAATTAAATAATGCAACAGTTCTTTGCGCAAAACTAAATCAAAAACATAGAAATAATTCTATGTTTTTACGTCAAAATGACAGCACTACTTAGACCACTAATCAAAGAAAAACAATACATTTTAATGTAAAAAAACTATAGCTTTATAAAAATTTAGCACTCTTAAATAATGGGAAAACATGAACGTAGTGGCAAGTAGAAGTTTTAGTTATTTTATGTAAAAATGCTAACGATTTTGTGTTTTAGTAGACATTGGCGATAATAAGCGCAGCAAAAGACATAAGCGGCATAAACATAACAAGGAGCAAAACATAAAATCTGAGCAAATGGAGATCGTCAACGATGAAATAATGGAAAACGAAGACAAGAAAGAACTTACGCACAATGAGGACGATGCTCAAATTGATGTGGGCGAAGAGGATTTATGTAATGTAACATTGCCGCAAGCTAATATCACGCCTCCAAGAGCAAACACTAGCAAAAGTAAAAAGACCACTCCTAAAAGTATTTCATCCACAAGCAGCGCAACAGGGACTCCTAGTAGCATAGCAAATAGTGCTAATTCTAAAAAGGCGAAAAAGAGACGCGACAGTGGCACTTCCAGTGGCGAGGAGCGTTGGCTAACTGCAATTGAAAAAGGAAAACTGGAGGATGTAGATGATGAATTGAAAAAAATCAAAGATCCCAAGTTAATGACTGCACGTCAACGCGCTATGTACGAAAGAAATTTGGATAAGGAACCCTCTCCGGGTGGCGAAATGCTAATGTCATTACCGACAGGTTATCGCGAAAAGGAAAAACCACAAACTGCAGAAGATATACTCAAGGCTGTGCTCAAATCACAAAAACGTAAACAACTAGCGGATGAGAAACGTGAAAAGGATAAAAAGAAAACCATGGAACGTTTGTTAAAAAAACAAGACAGCACCAAACCACGCAGTGGAGGCCGTAGCAAAATTCTTAAAACAGCGCAGCCAATGATAAGCTATAGAAGCACTTTGAGTGGTGCCTATATACACTTGCCACCAGATCATGAATTTCCTTTAGCACCGCAAAAATCAGAGAGCCCGCCAAAAGTGATTATGTGTGCAATTGAAGGTTGTGGCCAGCCCAAAGTGTATAACTGCTCAAAGACAAATCTGCCATTGTGCAGTTTTGCTTGCTATAGAAAAAATGTCCAAGCGCTGCGACAAATCATGTGTTAAAAATGGGTTTCCAGTGCTTTATTGGCTTGCTATTTGTACGTGTACAGTTTATTGATTAAGCAAAAAATTGTTGATGGTTTCCTGTTGCTCGGCCTCGATTCGCTGCAAATATTGATATTCGCTCTTCAAACGATCCAGGTTGGTGTTCTTCTCATGTATTTTGCTCTGTAAAATGAGAAGGATTCATATATGCAACAATCTTTATTTATTTATTTTTATTTGCCTGATAAACTTGCTGTTCCGCCTGGCGTTGTTGTGCTATGGTCTTAAGAATATTTTGTGTGCCTATTGCACGTAACTTTTCTCTTTCCACATCCTTGGATATTTTAGAAACTATTTTATGGAAGTCTGCTGCCAATTTTTTGAACTCTTGTAGTTTGTTTGCATATTCCAGACATTCTTCACGTAACTCGTTGGTCTCAGTAGCAATGCGAGGATCCTGCACGCGTAACCGATATATATCGTCTATATAAAGTCCTGCTTTTTGAAGTTCCTCCGACATAGTTTAGAAGTCAGTGCAACTACTAAGAAATATGCTTCCCTAGATATGAGCTATTGTATTGGTAAACGTTTGGAACAAAAGCATCGTCATAGCAACGTTAAACCAAACAAGAATTTTTATTCGTAATCTTTCATTTTAATGTAACTTAAGTACTTCAAAATTAGTATAAGAATAAATAATGTTTACATCCATATTGTTCAAATAAATATTTGAAAATATTTAATTTAATTTATTTAGAGTAAACACAAGTTATCATAGTACTGTAAATTTATTCTTGAGAATAGTAAAGAATATTTTAAGTAATATATGAAATGACAATGCAGATCCACTGAAGAAACAGTGAAGGAAAATCTTTAAATTGTAGATGAGTGTGTGTTTACTGTTATTCATTTACTACTACTATTATTTTGCTAATCCTGAAAAGGAACTACCACTTTCCGAATCTAATAGCTTTTAAGATCACATCAAGCGAACCATCGGATGATTCAATATTCTAACCACCATCATAAATTTATGTATTATGTTGAGGCTGAGTCATTGCACTTGAGCAATTTTACTCTCTATTAACTATGAGGTTTCTTCATAACTCCTCTCTACGCCTTGACTGGATTATTGTTTATCACTTCATCAGACTAAGCAATATTTAACCTCAGATCTGCATACCTCCCCGAGAAGCCTGTAACCATTCTGAGATTCGATAACGCAGTGTTGGTAAGCCTATCAGTTTTCGTACATAATTTCAGGACTCTATCCTTTATGTATTTTTTAATCGGATCAATCAATGATAGTACCTTGAAAAGTCTTCTCAGAGCCTGACTTTGTGCAATTTCTAGCTGGTGAATAGTTGTTTCGTTGAGGCCTTGGTAAACGCTACACATCCATATAGAAGTAACGATCGAATTATAACAGTTCCTGCTCTTAGCATTGATCACAAATTAAGGCAATCATATCCATGTCATCGGGTGGTTGAATTTTATAATTTAGATGCGCAAATAAACTTGTCCACTATAATTAAAAGGAATTATTAAAATAACAAGAGAACACAAATTTTAAAATAATTTTTATATTAACGTCATACATGATTAAACAGGAAATTTAGTTTTTAGGAAAGCCATTATAATCAACACATAATGACATAACGACACAGTATTTTTTTTTAAATTAATACTTTTTAAATAATACATATTTGATGTATATCATTATTAATTTAATCCCTAAAATTTATATCTAACATTGAAGACATAAAATAATTTAATTTTTGAACGTCTAGATGAAACATGTATAAACTGAAAATTATAAGTGTAAAAATGTTAAAACTTTAAATTACAACAAATCAGTTTTTCAGATTTTTAATTTCAATTCATTTAAAATTACAATTTTTCATATTTACAAATTTCTGACCATCTTAGTGATTGTCCAAATATTAAAATATTTAAATTGCAAATATATTTAAATAAACGACTCTTGACTATGTTTACAGACAATTTTTAATACTACGGAAATTATTTAACAATTTAGGACTTAAATAAATGTATAACAGCACAATTAAAAAAATAATCCTTTAAGAGTAACGGAGCAAGTAATTGCTTGACAGTGATTAATGACCCTTAAAGCGTCTGTATGCTTTTCGAAAGTAATTTTATTTTGTATATTGCAATTGTTTTAGCACTTCGAACGATTGGCTATATTTTTCAGTATATTGAGGTTCTTTGGCAATTATGTTTTATCGCCGGTACTATCCCTCCAAAGCTAGGACAGCATCACGCGTGGTCATCCCACATACTTGTGTACATGTCAAATAGGGTTGTTGCGTTTATTTGAGCGTAAACGTGCTAGTCCCGTACGTTCCTCCTCTTCGTCACTGGTATACTGTTGCATACCAGACCCAGCACAACCACCACGTACCGATGATGTGGCTTGTAACAATTCCTGATCCGGCGCATTACGGTTTTCATAAAGCAGCACTTGCAATGTTTCTTCATAGATTCGTGCTTCTGGAAATTCTACCTTAGTATGCTTACGGTCAGTGGCATATACAATAGAAGTACAACACACTTCAGCCACTTTTTTGCCATGACCATAGAATGACCAGCAACATATTTCGCTAGGACCTATTACATCTTTAATGAATAAAATACGTTCGTTGAAACGCAATGAGAGTTTGTCGAATAATTCAATATTTTTCAGTAGATTGTCATCTGATGCACTTGTGTAAGAATACTTGTTATTTTGCCGTTGCACCACTAAAATAACCGCGGGTTTTGATGATGAACTGATAAGCATTTGTTCCTCCTTTTGGGATGTTATCAATGGTATGCGACAGATTGGTTTAGGTTCCTGATTAGCTAGTAACGCGCGTTCACATGACATGGCCAATTCTGTGATGCAGTAATATTTGGCCTCAGCCAGAAGCTCCGCGATTTCTTTATGCGACTCCGGCAGTGGCACAGTGCCATCACGTAAGTAATTGAGTATTGTACCGAAATGATTACCGCAACGGTCAATCAAAATCCAACCTATAAAAAATTTGAATGTATTCAATTTGTATTCACTATTGTGTAATATGATATAATATAAATAATGTACAGTCGATGCAATATGCTCTGCTGGTTTCGTATTTCGCGCTGCCTTCGCTTACGCGTTATAAACAGCGCCCAATTAGTCATACATTATCAGCCTCTGGCACTTATCACTTTGATTTTTTAGCCTTAATTTTTATTACTCACCCTCTGTATCGGTTAAAACTTCCATTCGTCCACTGAACATAGCACTCAACATGGTGTCATTATGCTTCGTAAGTGTTCCAATGGTCGTGTAATAGAGCCTACCGCCTACGTTCAGTTTTACATATTGTGATGGATGGCCTTTTAGCATTGTTTGATTACCGGACATTTTATTACTATTTGCAACTAAAACTAATTGATCTGGAGCGGTCGTTAACTGCACTATTTTAACTTCCTTAGCAACTGCGCCAGTACCAGGGGTGGAGCTGGCACTGCTCGTACTAGCAACTATTAAGGAATCAATTTTGGCGTTTTTTTTAAATAAATATCTTAATTTTATTTTTTATTAATTAACTTTTCTCTACTTATCAGTATCTATTCAGACCGTGCTGTGTATATCGGTGGTTAATTATTTTTCCAGCAGCTCGCAGTTTGTGCACAGAACAAAATATATTGAAAAACAAGAACCGTCAAGTAATTAAGCAGCCCATCGAACCGATATAAACTGTAACTTATCAATAGCCAGTGATTTATTCTGGCTATGCAGTGCATCGATGTGAAGTACAGAGTTAAAGCTGGTGGGAAATTGTTTAAACACGTTTAAAAATTATTTTTTTAACATTATTGGATATATATTAATATTTAAACAAAAAGAATGTGGTACGCATATTATTATCAATGACTTTTTAAAAATATTTATTTTGTTGAATAGTGAAAACGCTATGTTATACAGACAGTTATGTGATTAATGATCATGGCAATTTTGTACTTTTTTTAGTCATTATCCAAATGCATATTATCCAAATATTTTGATCACTTTTGGTTGTGCCTAAATTTAAAAAATAATGATTATTGTTTGGATAAGTTAACCATGTTTTCATTATGGATTTTGCAAATCCTGTTACCAAAGCTTTATCATTTCAAAATAGACATAATAAAATTCGAACTTTAAATGAAGGTTGGTTTGATTTGACATATTTTCTTGAGTACAATGCTGAAAATAATATGTTATTGATAAGGTTTAGGTGCAAAAATAGCGATATGACAGATTTTTAAAATGATATTTTGATAGTGCCAACTTTGTTCCAACCGTTTTTTTTTTCCTTTCAGAATTGTAAAAAAGTAATATTAAGTCTGGTTGATCAAATGATTTTTTTAACAAATATTTATTGCGTTGTGTATAATATGAAAAATAAAAATTCTGAACACTAAAAATTAATTAACTTAAATAAAAGTATTATATTCTTTATATATAATACAATACAATTTAATATTAATAATAATAATAATTACGGCACGGCACGCTTACTCCTTTGAGCACAACGACGAAACACACATTTTGTATTTTTTCCTTTTTTATCTATTTCTTTATACAGGGTTGCCATGATCGAATATACTACAGAATTCATTGTATCGAAATATGGTATTACAAATTACGCCAAATGATAAAGATAAAGTCTCTTGAAACAATTAGCACAACAAACTTATATCTTCGTTTCAGTGAAATTTAGTTGTTTTTCCAATACACAATTCAATTTTGGGATTAAAACGAAATTAAGGAAAATGTCCTGAAATTAAGAAACATTTCAAATGCAATTATTTGTAAGATACATTTTTAGCTAAAGATAAAGTTAAGATAAAGGAAAATGGACATTTTTTTATATAAATGTTAATGAAAGTTGACTTTCATGAAACCGGGAAATTATTTTGAAAGTAAATTTCAAATTTGAATATAGAGAAAAAACTTTACCGGTTATTAATTTAAAATAGAGTGAAAAATATTAATTCACATACCTAAAGTCCATTAAAACTATTTAATGCTATGCTTTATAGTTATTATAATCAACTTTTAAAATTTCCTGGATACAAATGATGTTTAGAGCATGTAATTTTTATCATTCGATTTGTAAATAAAAAATACATGATTTCCTTAATTTGGTGCAGCATGAACACTTTCGAAATTAACTTAATTTCATTTTTACGAAATTAAGGAAATTTGGCTGTCTGAACATAGCAGTAGAGTGCGTTTAATACTGCTTGAAAGTGTAAGCAGCGCATAAGTAGAGTAAATATAAACATAACAAGAAAAACAAACCGCAGAAACATATGAGTTAGGCGCGCTGTTGCATTTCATATGAATTGTGAACTAAAATTCATTTTGTGGAATAAATATCAAGAATAAAATATATATATTCATGACCAAACACAATGTTTAGCGATATTTCTTTACTCATTTTAAGTGAATTCAGCGACGACGAAAGTGATGAAGAAAATTTATTGGATTCGTCTACGGATTTAGGCTCATCTTCAGAAGAAGATGAATATCTGGAAAATTTGCTTTGCGATTCGTACAGCTTTAGGCGACATCATGCTGAAAACATCACAAGGGGTGGAATACCTACATACACAAATAAAGAATTCCAAATTCATTTTCGTGTGAACAGAAATGTGTACAATTTTCTAATAGAAAAATTTAAAGACTCTGAGGATTACAGAAGTCTAAGGATGGATAAAGTGATCTCAGCGGATACACATATTGCGTTGTTTTTGTGGTTTGCGGGTCATAGAGAATGTTCCTTCCGAGATATTGCCAATCGTTTCCATATATCTATCAGTACAGTTAGTGCCATAATAAGTAGAGTTACTCACTTCATTAGCAGTCTCTCGGACGCAGTAATAAAATGGCCAAATTGTACCGAAAAATTAGCCTCATCTGCTTTTTTTGCTGCACAACATATTGGTGGAAGTTTCGAGGAAGCTATAGGTTAATTATTTTTACTTTAGTAATTAAATAATATACAATATATATATAATTTATTTTTAGGTGTATTGGGTATGACTCACATACGAATTATTCCTCCTAAAAGTGATAAAAACCAGTACATTAATTGGAAAGGCGAAAGCACTATACAAGTGCTAGGAATTTGTAATGAAAGAAATGACTTTATTTACATTTTTGCGGGACTTCCTGGTGCTGTTCATGTGCATGAAGTGCTTGAAAGATCTGATATATATCCAAAACTGTCATCGCTCTGTGGTGATTATTATATATTAGCTAACTCTTCATTTGCTTGTACAGAAAATATCATAACTCCATACATCGACAATGAGCAATTGGGTGCACGTCAAAAGAAATTTAACGATAAATTGAACTCTTCTCGCATCATCATCGAACATGCCTTCACTATGCTTAAACGAAGATTTCCACAATTATACTTCTGCAAACTAAAGGGAGTAGAAAAAGTATGCCATTTCGTAAAAGCCTGTGTTGTTCTTCACAATCTCTGTGACGACAATTTTATTAGAGTTGGAAGTGACTTTAAAGTGACTGATATAAATCAAGATATGGAACCACCTAACACAACTGAAATGTCCATTTGGCGCCGCAACCAGTTATGTTACAAAATGTTTAGATCTAACGCAAAATAATTTACATTAACTGTAATTAATAGTTTTTTGTATATATAGATATTTTTAAGTGGTATATAAGTAGCGATAGTAGTATTTTGTAAAAAGCAATAATATAAAATACAATTTTTAATTTATTTATCATTTTATATAGCAGTCAATTAAACTAAATTGAGGTAATCAATGCTAAGAACAGAAAGCTGATATATAACCAAATAATTCGTCCGTCACTACTATATGGTTGTATAGCGTTTAGCAAGGCCTCAACCAAACAACTATTCACCAGCTAGAAATTGCCCAAAGTCAGGCTCTGAGAAGACTTTTCAAGGTACTATCCTCAATGACATCCTCAGGGACCTCAAGATTGATCCAATCAAAAAATACATAAAGGATAGAGGCCTGAAATTATATGCGAAAATTGACAGACTTACCAACACCGCGTTATCAAATCTCAGAATGGTTACAGGCTCCTCGGGAGATATGCAGATCTGAGGTCAATTATTGCTTAGTCTGATGAAGTGATAAACAATAATCCAGTCAAGGCGTAAAGAGGGGTTTTAAAAAAACGTCGAGTTAAGAAAGAGTAAAAGGGCTCAAGTGCACAGGCTCAAAAAGAAATAAATAAATAATAAATAAAGTGAGGTAATCTACGAATATATAAATGTTTTACGACATTACTATATTCTATATTATAGTTACTTATTATTAACACATCATCTATAATTTGATTGTAGCGAACATATATGAGTAATACAAATTTGTAGACAGAATTTAAGTTTAGAAAATACCTTCACCTTTTTTGACACAGTTTTCTGTGTCATGTTGTTGTTGTTGTAACCCGCCGGGACCTGCTTGTGGAGTCCCTTTGAGAGGTGTTGAACGGTACGTGGTCGTCGTAAGTGGCGAGTGGCTCCAGGACGTAGATCCGACCATCCTTGGGACCTTCCTGTGTCATAGATTCATTTTTTCCCATAGATTCATTAATCAAAATTTGATGAACTTTTTCATCCATTCTCACACTTTCATGATTATGAATTAAATAATCTGGGTTGTATCAGGATTTTCTTCTCTATTCCATTCATGTGCAAAATATTCAGTTATATCTGTGGGTACATTTGAAGGAGTATTTGAATAATTTGAAGGAGTTTGAAGAAGTACGTATAATCACTTTCCGTCGTCATTCAACTTTCAATCTTGTCGATAAGATCCCAAGTTAAAATTGACTTCATTTGAAGTATTATAAGAATGACATATGCATGCCACTCGATATGTGGTTAGTTTCAGTTTTGCTGAAGTCTACTACTCTTTTATCTTCTGCGAGGCACGATCAAATTACTCGCTTAACTCTCATATTTATTTTTATTATTAGAAGGGACAAATGGACACTGCAACCTGTAAGATCTATTGTGCCATCTCTGAGGAAAGGTTCTTCAGTTAATCGATACAATTTAATGCTATTGCCAAATCTAACAATATCATTCAAGATATCAAGACTAACATATGAGAGTTCAAAATTTTCTAAAATGTTTCAAATTTAATGGATTTTTTTCAAACTTTAAATAAGTTTTCAAAACCCTTCGTTAAAACCCATCAAAAACTATGAACTACATTACTTTTACTTTTTCTGGTAATCGCAAGTTACTTTTTCTGGAAATCACAAGTTCTGAGTAGATAAGATGATCGTTAATTTCACTTCATATTTTATAGTTCCCCCAAGTGCCGGTAACTTGTATCCTGTACTAGTCCGACTTTTGAGAAGTAGTTAGAAACAGCAGAATTTTGAATTAAAAAAATATTAACTGATCACAGTTCTGTGCTGTTTAGACTTAGAACCTGTTAGACTTGACTTCTGCCTCTTGGATTATGTTTTGTTGATGTTATTTTGCGTTGTTACTGAGATCTGAATACCTCAATTACTTTATCCCTGGTTAGGAAATCATCAGGGTCACAGCAAATTTCTTGATAAGATTTTAAAATACTCTTCAAAAAGCAGCCATCCGTAGCAGTAAATTTGATATTGAAAAGGTCTTTGATACCGTCTGGTTTGAGGGTTTGGTTCACAAGTTCTACTTGTTCGCTTCTACGAACAAAACTCAAGAGTTCCATGTAAATCCTTTTGAAATCGTGTTGCATGTATTTGATGAAGTTTGATGAAGGTCTAAATAAATTTTAATTCTGAAACTTATTTCCCGATCATATAGTAATAAGAAAATTGTAAATGAAATTAAATTTTTAGATCTGTTCTGAGGACCGTTATGATCGTTGATTATTACTACCTGCTTTGTGTTGTTCAAAATTGATTATTAGCGAGCTCGTTACTTGAGATCGTGAACACCCTTAATATTTCTATGCAAACGACCGCGCTGTTATCTGTTCGAGCAATAATATAAATTTTAAGAACGGAGTGAAATCGTCTGAAAAGTGTGCTATGTATTATGTTCTTAATCATGATTATAGGTCCATTTGCTGTTGTCGTAATTTGACTTGGTGGTTTTCTAACTCTTAACCCATTTTATAAATTATTTACTCATAAATCTATTTACCTTAATAGTGAGACCCCAATCGGAGTGGTGAGGACTTCATTCTAAACAATAATGATAACTGTATGGTTTGTATTTAGGACGTGTGCGAGTTATACCAGGTTCGCACTATCTCATTTAGGCACTTGCTCATTTATATAAATGAGGAACCGTTCACATAATAATGAGCTCATTTATACAGCTTTTAGAACTTTTATATGTCAAAAAAGCTATAAAAGAACTTTCTTTTGTTTACAAATAAAACACAAAGAAAAATTTTGGTATTATGTAAAATAAATATTTTAAAATGGGAAACGCGGAATATTTAAAAAACATAATATATAATGTGTGTGAAATTATTAATAATAGAAAGAAAGAAAGTAATTTCTGAATATCGTAAATGTCGTGCAATGCACCGAAAAAATATACTTGAAATAAGAAAAAAGCAAATAGCAATACTTTCTACAATAATTGCTAGCAACCGGAGGAAGTGCTGGACTTTGGTTAGTGCCACCAGTAATGATTATTAAATAAAGTTTAAAATTAACATTTTTTTTCAGAAAAGAACAAAGAAATTTTGGGAAGTGGATTGCCAGAAAAATGGTCCAAATTTTTTCAAAGAAAATTTTCGCATGAGTTTGGAATGTTTTAAGGAGTTATGTGACTTATTAAAAGGACTACAGAAAAGAGATACAACCTTTCGAATTTCAATTTCTTTAGAAAAGAGAATTGCTATTAGCTTGTATTGCCTTGGGTCGTCGGCTGAATACAGAAGCGTAGCAAATCTGTTTGGCGTTGGCAAGTCAACCGTGTGCATTTGCCTGAAATTATTTTGCCAGGAGGTGTGGAAAATTCTTTCACCCTTGTACATGAATGCATTTCCATTAACAAGCGACAAGGTGAATGAGTGCATCAGAGGATTTGAGGTTCTTGGTTTTCCACAATGTTTAGGTGTTTTCAATTGGTAAGTTTTCAATTTACTATTACTGAAACATATTAATTGTAAACAACATTAAAGATGGAAGCCACATTGAAATAAAACCAGAATCTCAGAATGCTGTTGACTACTATAACTATAAAGGGTGGTACTCGATTGTTTTGTTTGCCCTCGTAGATTATAGGTAAGTAATTTATAAGTAAATAAACAAAGAAATTTCAATAAACGCGCAAATATATTTTACTGTTTATTTACAGATACCGTTTTCTTTATATAAATGTTGGGTATCCTGGAAGAGTCAATGACTCTTTTATTTTTGAAAATTCATCACTTAAGAGCCAGTTAGAAAATTGTATTACTTTAGACGACAAAAGTAGGGTGATTAATGGTGTCTTTTTGCCATTGACATGAATCCATCTGAAATAAATGAATATATCTCACTAAAAAATTAAATATTTCATTGATATATTAAATCATTTATATACATGTTATATATTAATTACATTTCAATTAATAAAAACAGATTATATTCAATACTACTTTCTCAGTGTACTTGTTTACAGCACAGTTGTTTGTTTACATTTTATATTTAAAAATATATGACAGATACTTCAAATTTTGGTCATTTCCCTTCTGGGAAATTTTTTTTAAAGGGTTGCATTCGACAATTTTGGTCTAAAATGAGCTGATTTATTGTAAATCAGCACATTTATATGAAAGCTCTTTGTATGGTAAATCATGCTCATTAGTGATTATAATGAGCAAAACCGCCTAAATGAGATAGTGTGAATGTACTATTAGGCTAAGTTGATGCTAAACCAAATGGGAGATTTTTTTGGGATTTTTTGCACTGCACACATTTAGCCATTTATCAACACGTATCGACACCTCACTACATTATCGGCACAACTTACAATTTCCCTCATTTAGAACGCAACTTAGCCTAACTCGCACACGACCTTAATATTATATTGAAATTCAAAATAAATAAATAAATAAATTCAAAATAATGTAATATCCATCAAATTCATACTTTTTCTTTTTATCGAAATGTTATGATCAGATCAATGTCATCTTTTGCTTTTAATAGCTCTTAGAACCATATTTATTTGAACATGAATAATTTTTTCTAGGAAACTCCATCAGTGAAATTAATGTTAATCACATTTATCTTCTTATTTTCCTTCTTAACAGCTCCCATCGATTCAACACCAATTAACAACTCCATTTATTTTTATTTGTATTTTTTAAGAATATTTAAGTGAAGGTTTGACAATGGAACACTGAAACTTCCTGATTTAGAGGCGATCGCGCTAAGTACTGTGCAATTCCAAATGAAAGAAACATTTGGATTAATCAACCATGTTTTCAATTTAAAACATTATAGTTGAGATTTAATAATCTTCTAATATATCTACTAATACGAGTTAAGAATAATAATGACCAAAAAAAAATTTGCGTACATTACAGATATATCTTCTCTATAATTTTTAAACATTTCAATAGGAGTTCGTAGATCTAACTGTATTCATTTTTCTGTTCTATAAATTAACAGTGATGAAGTCTTCCATAGTTCATAGTATTTTGTTATAATATTGAAAATGTTTATGCAGAGATTAACTGCAGAACTTTTTAAGCACTAGAACTTTTTGGTGCTGTTAGCTGTCACATTTTCTCTTGTTTGGTATTATTTAATCCGCGATAGCTAGCAATTCTGCTCCTTTTTATGTAATGGTTTTAGTTTTTGGTTTAGCTACTTATTATATCAATTCATTGCACACTTGAAATTTAATATTCATATCTAGTAGGACATTTTAATGCCGGGGTATATTACTTTAATAAATGATCCGAGATAGCTCTTTTTTAATTGATTTATAAAGCAATTTGTGTCACATTGATGGTAATTTTTCTTCTTCAGATATACCACGAAAGTAGATGATTCCAGTGAAATAATTTCTAATGAAATATCTATAAACAATGGTTGGTTTGTGGGCCGCACTAGCAGATCAGCAGATATTCATTTTCCATAACTAGGGATCATTCGCCGTTTTACTACTACTTTTCTCGCAAGAAACTTACAGACCCATCCTGTTGAATTTAAGTACAGATTGAACAGATTGTTCGTCATTACATTTACCGACAAACAGTCTATAAAAAATATTCTTTATTTAAGTAAGTAATTGAACAGATCTTTCCTCATCACATTTACCGACAAACAGTCTGTAAAAAATATTCTTTACGATATTTATATTGAATATCTCTGGAAAATAGTAGATTAATAGGTGTATATTTTTGAATTATAATAAACCATTATCTAAATGGAACTGTTTTCAGACCCGTGTATAAAATCTGGTACCTTCTTTGTACAGACCAAACCAATAAATTGAAGTTTTACCTCAACGGCCAATCAAATTCCTAATTGTGACTGGAGTAAGTTGATACCTTAAACTTCGGTTTAAGACCCGTTCTAGAATAAAATTAATTGAACCAAGAGTTTGCTAAATCGGCAAAAACTTTAGTTGGATTTAAATATTGACACTAAAAAAAAAATAAAGGAAAATTATTTATTAAATGAATATTTCTTTTAAAACCAACACACATAACTTAAAATCATTACTTTTTATTTTAAATCAGAACTTAATTTTACGTTTATATATTGTGGATTCGTATATAAATATGTATTTTGTTTTTTTTATCAATATTATTTTACTTTCATATTTTTACATATATTAAAACACCTATTGCTTTCATAGGTGTGCGTTAATCTATATATAATATTATATTTATATATAAATGAAAGGTTTCAGAAATCTGCAGTGGGTATTCACATTTTTGTGCAATTATCTACTAAAAAATAATATATAAAATAAAAGTAAAAATAGAAGTAATAATAGAAAGATTACATAATTAAGAATTAAAAAATTAAAACTGCAAGAAATAGTCGACAAAAAAAGGCTTACAGGGAATAATTCAGTTATATGGCTGAATTAGTTTAGCGTGATCCACTGTTAAATTCTGACAATGACTTATTTAGTTGAATAATAATTACATTCCAAACTTGGAAAAAAAATTGCTATCGGAAATGTCTACCACGTTTAAAACCAATCATCTCATATGGGTATGAGTGGTTGTAGCTTTTATTATTTAAACAATAACATAATTGATATAAATAATTTGTTTTAAATTAAGAAGTAGCTTCTGAGCTTAAGGAAACAAACAGAGTTTGAAATAAGCAGCAGTGTTTCTAACGAAAAGCGTACGCCACATAAAAATTCTAGATAGTTTATTTTCTACAACTTCTATATAAAATTTAGGCTTATTTTTAATATCTCATATAAAAAGATACATATAGATAATGATACTAACTGCAGATATCTGAAAGCTGTTTTTGTTAAATTATAATGCAATTAGATAATGATTTTGTTGTCATGTTGAACAAAACTGTTACCTTAAATTTGAATTATTATCATTTTAATTTAGTTTAGACCTTATTGAAATAAGTAATATAATTCCTGCTGTTACTACAAACATACAACACAATATAGACAAAAGAAAAAAATAAGAAGAATTAAATACCATTAAAAATTCTTAATTAAACATAAGTTGGTATTTTCGCAGTAAATATATATTAATGACTTTCTTAAATAACATTTATGTGCTTACACCGAAGACACTGGAACTCCTGTTTCACTTAAGTCTGTATTGACGCTGTCACATTCCTTCGACACTGTTTCGTTTGTGGCATCTGTTGAAGTGGTTGCCGCAGTACCACAGCTACTGCTAGCAGTTATTTTGTTGGCAGATGCTTCAGTTGAGGAACACTCCCCATCAGTCTTCACGCGTTTATTGGCATTTTCGGCTTCATTACTTTCAAAGGTAGGTGAAGCACAACGCTTCAGCGGATTAAATGCGGCAATATCTGTACCATCAATAGCCGCATCCTGTGCAATTAATGCATCCTCTGTTTCTTCGGGGTTAATTGTTGATTCAAGTTCAAGTATTTCAGCTTTAAAACGAACAATGACAGCTGTCATATTATCGCAACCAGTGCCATCACCATGCGTATCTGGTGCAAGGCAATTATCGAAAAGCTAGAAAATAAATCTAATATGTAATTAAATAGCTAAATGCATTTAAATGGAATTACCTCTTCACATATTTTGGACAAACTTTTTGTACCGTCGGCTAAACGTGTACGAACAAAATCTACTACTTCCTCGCTAGTCATAAAATTCCAAATGCCATCGCATGCTAGAACCATAAATTCATCTTCAGATCCTATTATAAGTTTTTTAATTTCTGGAAGCGCAGATATCATTTGCTCCTCAGCTGGCAATGCTTCGTTCTAAGAATTATAAAATTAAATATATTTATTGTAGGATTGAGTAATAACGTAAATATATAATTATATTTGTACATGTATTTGAATATATAATAAGTATTTTTATTTGCGATCTATTATAAACAAATTCAACACCTCAACGATGCGTGAGAATGCTTAATGTAAATTTTAAAAAAGAAAAAGACAAGATTCCGATTTCCCAGGCATTCGAATGCGACAACGGATTTAAGTAGAGTTTCGTACTTTGAGCAATTTTTTCAATAAGCTATAGGCTTATAAGACTTACTTCTCGAGATATCAAGTACTAATACCTAAAACACTATTAGGGTATAGAAGCTACATATGTCGAAAATGGCAACTGTTAAGTATATAATTAGGTTAGGTTAGGTTACTGGGGCCGTCCGAAGACTCACTTAGACTATGAGGTCCATTGTGATACCCAAAGAATTTGACACCTGTCCCTATAACCACTTGGTATTGGGTACAAAGCCATTGACACGAGCTATGGAAATAGAATCTAGCTCTCTTAATGAATAGAAAAAGTGCGACCCTAAGTAGGATTGTCTATGTCTTGCGAAGGCAGGACACTGTAGCAGAAGGTGTGTTGGTGAAGTATATAATTGAAATGCTGCAAAAGATGCCAACTACTATAGGGAGAAATCACAATTTAATTGTGCGTTGGATATAAAGTAGTAAATTTTTTACATTAATTAAATTATTTATTTAATTATAATTATTTTTCGTGTAAAAATTTTTAACATTTAAGCTTGACATCTCGCATTCTAAGTTATACTGACGTAATGGTTGCTCAAAGTAACCAACTTTATTAAAATGTGTTGTTAAATGGGATCGGAAAATCGGAATCATTCTAAAACATCATAGTTGCAGAATTATACAGAAGAAATATATATAATGTACTAAGCTATATCTGTCTGTAATTAAATGTTCACTATCTAAGACCTATAAATCATAACTGTCAGTATTAAAAATCTGATTTAAAGCTCCATACAATGAAGATTGAACTGTGACACAATTATAATTACCATTTTATATGCATGATCACCAATAGCTCGTGAGAGATTCAATCCTCCATTAACGCGCCCATCAAGGGTAACACGTCCGCCAGCTTTATGTATGCGTGTGGATTCTTCAATATCTTCGGGTTTATGATCCAAACTCATTTCAATTGTTTGACCATTGCGACAGACAACACATCGGGAATCGCCAGCATTAGCTACGTATAAATCTCTTCCGTGTAATAGAGCAACGACAGCAGTACAGCCGCTATCTTTGCCCGGCTCTTCAATCATATTGGCGCAAAAATTGCTACCTATTTCATCATATTCTTCTTCAACAATATCATCATCTTCATCACCCATATCATCTTCTTCATCTTCTTCTTCCTCAATATCCTCTTCGTCTATTTCTTCCTCCGATGAGCATTCTAGAGTTTCACACATATCAACTACACCATTATTTTCAACTGCAATTATAAATTAAAATTATAAATTAAAAGTATTTCAAAAAATATATATTTATTCTTGGCACTTACGTTCATAATCCGCATCATCATCTGTAGAATCTTCATCCATATTGCTACTATCCAATTTCTTAGCGCATTTACTAGTTGATGATATAGTTGATTGATCTGTGGATTTGTTTTTGTTATTAGGCAACAAAGCTCTGCCAATGCAGCCGTTTTGTTTGCTTTCAGCTGCATCATTTGAACCAGACACATCATCATCTACAGCTGTTTTTATTGCTGATACAGCAGCTGATGTAGATACATCCTCTTTTGTAACAACAACTGATGATGTTACACTTCCATTTTGTTCACTTTCCTTTATTTGTGAAGAATCTGGCGCATTTGATTTGGATATTGTTTGTGACACATTAGACGAACCATTTGCAGTGATGTCTTTGGGTTCAGCCTCAGCTTCGGCTTCTTTACTTTGAACTGGTTTTGTAGTATTTTTATTTTCACTGTTTGCTTTTGTTGCACTTGAGCTGCTGCTGCTAACAGTTGAATCTTCTTCTGCATCAGTTTCCATTTTTGAAGTTATTACTGTTTTCGATGTACTCGGCCCAGCATCTAAAATAAGTTGAATAAGTTGACATAGTGAATACATGAAATGTCATTATTTAAGGCTCAGTATATTTACCATTAGCTGCTTTTTCAGCAGCAATTGAAGCAGCCGCAGCAGCTGAAGTAGATGAACCAGATGGTTTGGAGTCTGGATCCATGACAGCTTTATTAACAGCTTCAGCTATAATTGCAGCTGCACGTCTACCTCTTAGATATGGCGACTGTGGTTTAGAACCACTTGCGGCACCATCCTTTATCTTTTTAAAAGAAGGTAACGGCATTAGACCTCCCTTATATTTTTCAAGTACTTCATTTAGCGGCAAATTGCTCTCTTCATGCAATTCTGCTAAATCTTCTCCATCATCGTCGTCTTCATTACCATCACTTTCTGGACAATCTACCAAATTCCTCTCTCCAGCTAGCACTTTTAAAATGTCTATTACATCTGACTCGAGCAAAGTTTTGTCGAAACCTAAGAAGGTATCCTTGAGTGCTTGCTCAAACTGACCATCTTTATATGTTTGAATATCTTTAAGAAATTGCGGTAACTTATCTGCACAGTAAGTTGAAACCTCTGCGCCGCCATGTCCATCATAGACCGCAAATAATGAAGTATTTTTGTCAAAAGTTAAGATAGCATTATGAGCATCCTGTAAAAATTATTGATACAGATTAAATTAAAATATTTCTTAAAAAAGAAAAAGTATTTTACACAGTAAATTAAATGATGAATGTGTATAATTTTATATATAAATTGATTAATACATATGTATCTATTTAGGATCGATTATTGATATCAAATATATAATAATGAATCTTGGGTTAATATTATATTTGCTTTTTGAATAGATTTAAGTGATATAGTCATTAAGAAAGATCGCTCGACTATAACAAATTAGTAGTTAAAAAGCTACCAATTCCCAATCCACTCTTACTAGTAAATAACCCTATTCCCTTTGGCACTACCATCACTTATCTACATCCTAACACAAGTATAAGTCTTTGTAATTTTTCTCATTTTCTCGTTGCCGAATTCAACGCGTGGCTCCAAAAACACTCGACTTAACGTTCCTTAGCCATTCGACAATTTCAACGACCAAGTGTCGTTCATAACAGTGACTGCCAGGACCTAAATCCGGCTGTTGTTAAAACCTAGTAATTTCTTTCATGTTATCTGCTATATAGATCCTTGTGAGGTAGTACCATTACTAGTGAAAGAGCAGGCATTATCTTCTCCTTCTCTATTGAAATACACTATATTTACGATCTCAAGTAACGAGGAAGTTGACAGATTGACATAGTAGCAGTGCAAAGCGCCAACAAAACATATTTCGAGCATGTTTTTGTTCTTGCCACTTTGCTCCTTCTTTATATTATTCGGTCATCCAACTTCTTAGTCGAAATCGTGAACACACTTTATATATTTTATACAATCACTGGGAATATTAGAAGTGAAAGATATTAGTCAGTACTAGTACAATTTAAAAACTATAACACATTGTTAAACAATGTTAAGAATAATAAAGTTGACATATATAATAATGCTGACATAATTGACAATTTTGGTATATTAAACTAAGTGGACGACAGCACAGCTAATAATCATTAAAATATTAAATTAAAGTTAACAAAAAAATAAAAATAAATAAATAAATACTATATAAAACAATTTGTTTTCTAGCACAAAAATGTCCTTCCAAACTGGCACTACTAAACTGATTCACTCGTAGCCACAGCAGCCAGTCCCTTTATATTTTATTAACAATTACCATGGCTCACCTCTTGGCTATTTCTCCAGCCCTGCATTGAACTGGCACCAACTTCAAGCAACTGATTTCCCTCATCAGTTGATATTTTATCAGTTTTAGGCTGCGATAGGTACGCTCCCATTTTGAACACTTGTAATGATCTATTCCAATAAGCCCTTTTGGCTCACAATTCCACAATAATGCGCTTCTTTGGCGGAAAATCGATTCAGCTGCGGATCGATTAAATATCCAGAATTTCTAACACCGGCGTTAACCTCAAGGCGGGAAAAACTAAAATTAACAGAACAGAATAATATTAGTTTTTATTGTATCGAAATCGATTGCAAATTAATATGATTTATTTATATAAATACTTTAATTGCTTTTTGTTTGCATTCGCTAAATTGCGGCGATAATTTTTTCGTTGTGTGTATCCCCACGCCTTTTTGCACGCTTTTTATGTATTTGACTGTTTGAAAACGGCTGTTATTGTATTAGTTGAGTACACCAAACTTAATAAATATATTTAATTAACGAGGTTTTCGAATTAAAATCATTTTCTTGTTTCATATTTAATTGCACAAAGAATAGTTTCACTTGAGGTAGATTTTATTTATGTGTACTTTACTAGAGAGCCACAGCAGCAGTAGCAGCAGCAGCAGCCAACACAATAAAAAAAGACAGCAACGCGAAATGCTGTCGCTTTGTAGCAAGGCTTGCGGTACCACAATGCCGTAGCGTTTGCAAATTTATTTCAATTTTTACAGCTGTTATTAGCAATCTCTCACAAGATTAATATAAAACTATTTCACAATAGGCAATTAATTTTTATTTTCTCTTACATTCAATTCATTACTGCTTACAATAACTCAGAATTTTCTTGAGCACTTTGTGCACGTACACGTGAATAAAGATTTTTGCGCAAACTAAAAGTCAAACAAAAGCATTGAATAGAATAGCGTACGCTAACTTTGTGCAGTGTTGCATTTTCTTGTATAAAATGGGTGGTGTTTAGTAAGAAACTAGAAATGTTCAAAATGCACTATCTAGTTTAGGATGAATCTTTAATTTGATAATAGGCAACAATTGCAAATCTGATATTGTATTCTTATTAGTAATTTATAAATTGTATATAATTTATAAATTTACATATTTTAAACTAGTTTTATGAATTGTGTTTTTATAAAATAATAATATTAATTTCTTTTGTAAGCATATCGCATAAGAACAAATAAAATAAGCAATACTACCATTGGCAACCCTAGACAAAATGGAAATTTTGTTAGGCTTAAAATTTCGAAAATTAATAATAATTATTTGCAATTATGGGTATAAATATTTTATTATATACATTATAGTGAATAAAATTCGTATTTTCAGACTTTTTCAATGTTAACAGAAAAAAGTACTAAATTAAAACGAATTGAGTATTACTTGTGAAATATTTATTGACAGCTAACTGAAAATTTTGTTCGCATTTTCAAAAATCGTTCACAATAGACGAATTTTTAGTTTAGGCAATCATGCGATTTGAGTTGCTTATTATTTAAACGATTTTAAAAAGGTCGCACTAAATAATCCAGCAGTGTTGTTGTTTCATATGTTATTTTTAAAATAGGCGGTTATTCTTTTGTTACATGCTTACAAAAGAAAAAGCCTAATATTAGGAAAAGCAATAATTTATTAATATTTTTATTATTACTGCCGAATTAGTTTTTAAGTTTAAAAATTGGTCATCAATTTTTTAATATTTGCATGAATATATTTATTTATGCATATAAAGTCCTATCGTTTTCGAGTAAAATATTTTATATTACGTCTGTTCCACGAGCTACTAGTAGTAACTTTGACTAATACACAAATACGTTCCACCAGCATATTTTCGAGTAAATGAGAGCATCTGAGAGAGCGTAACATCTCTGTCGAAATTTTAAAATATTACACAGACTTTACTCGTACATTTTATTTAAAGTAAAATTGTGTTGATGTATGAATCAGCCGTTTTGGTTTGAATTGAAATTTTTGTATTGTTTATTTGCTCTAGATTGGTGTTCTCACCAGATTTTATACAAAGCTGTTCGATGAAAATCTGTGTGAAGAACGTAATTTGGCACTTTATTTATGTTACGCTATCAGTTTGTACTTTACTTGTGTTTTACTCTGTTTTACTACGAGTAGCTCGTAGTATGCTGGCCTATATTGGCTTCGCGAGCCATTGGCATCACTGTTGCAATCTGTCAAGTGTTATGTTTTGACAAAAAGCAAAAATAGCATAATGCAAGCAAATTACATTTTGTGTAAAAATAAATAATTAATATTAATTGAAAAGTAAAATTAATACAGAATTAAAAGGAATTATAAAAATGTTTAAAATTTCAAAATAAAACTCAAATGTTTCTTTTTTCCCAATTTTCAAATCAATTTCATATGATTTTTGACATATGATTGCAATATTCGTTGGAATTTCCAATTAAGGTTCACAATAGTTCGTTTATTACGTTGGTAACACTTTTTTTTACTGGTAGATGTGTGTGGCCAGTATATCTATACTGGCCTAAGTAGAGAAAATAGTGTTGTTGTTTTGTGTACATTTCGGCCAGTATAGGTCAGTAACTTGTTGTTTTTTGTCGTACATACTTACTTCAAAAATCAATTACTTACTCTTTCTCGTTATTATTTTTATTTACATTAAAAATTTAAATAAGTAACAATACAGCTGAATGCAGCTTAATAATACACTTTTCTCTCAATATTATGTTTATTTTACTAAAGTTGCTATTTTTAACTTGTGTGTAATATGCTTTGGACTATATTTTTACTTGCAAAGTATAGGAACAAGTCTTATATATATTGGAAAATTATATTTGTCAGATATTTAATATAAGTGTATAAGAAGTGCATTATCTATACGTCTTTCGTATACCACGAAACGAAGCTAATTTGACAATTTGTTTTTTTGTGCCATTTGTAAAGTGTTCGGCTGGCGCGGGCAGTGTGAATTTAAAAAAATTGACGATATTGGCGTTTGACTGCTTCAAAGAGAAAATATAGTTGGATAAATCATTGTACATCTTGTTCTTTTTGGAGAATCGGCAACAATTTGTTAACATCAGGTAATTAAACACAACATCAAAAAATTTTTATTTTCACTAATTAGTAAATTCATAACATCTTAGTTCGTTTTTTTTTTTTTATTGTAGTCAAAGAATTTTGGTAAAAGAATGCTTTTTCCTAGAATTTATATGATTTAGTGAGAACTTCAGAAAATAAATTGTTTTTAGAAATATCATTGCCATATTGATTTCCATTCATATTCAAAAAAGAATTAAGGTTATAAAACACAAAATGATTATGATTGATGTAAAAGTTATAGAAGGAAAGACTACTTACGGTTAATTAGTTTGAGTAGAATTTAATGTAAGTTAACACAATTTACCAAAACTACCACAGAGATGATATGAGCACACGTGAGGAGTAGTCCTACATGGATTCTGACTTAATTGGGATATTAATATATCCTTAGAAATCGCTAGAAGTCGTATTTCTGGTTCCGTAGTCAGGTGAGCTAGCAGCTTTCGCAGAAGAGTTCACTTACGTTAAGTGTTATATTATAATTCCTAGTAAGTTTTAATTGGATTAATTGATTGAAGCCCATGTTCTGTTCGACCTTAACATTAGGTTGTCCTAATATAATAATAGCAAAAACTTTTTATATATATTAATTACTTGTTATTATCCAAAATACTTATTGGTCCTATTATTAAAATTTTGTAAAGGAAACATAATAACTTTTATATTATTTTTATTATTTGTTGTTAATATTTGTTCATAAATCATTATACTCTATTTGTTCCTGAAGGAACAATTCGTTAATAAATAAGTAATTAGTAAACATGCAATAGATTTGTTTGTAAAATTTTAATTAAAAATTATAATTGTACTAATGAGTGTTTTTGATAGTAATGAGAAACAAATATGTATAAAACTATTTAATCGGTATTTTTTTTTATTTTATTATATATATAAATATTTTATGAATATAAAATTGGATTATATAAGCTCTTAATTTGTTGCTTAAATAATTCGAAACTTTTTATACAATTTTATAAAATCAAAGAGAAATGGAGTAGCGTTTCTAGTTATTAGGTTAAGGATTGGTCCCACGTGGTTTCCTAGGGGCTTTCACTACATACATATTTAATTTTTTTTAAACATATTAATCATTTTAAGACTCTATTCTTGCACAGTATGAGTCATAAGCACACCATAGTAACACTGTTCCCATATGCTTTCACCAGCTGATGAGTAGGTAGGTATAGATAAAGTGTCATTATGAGTATGTAAATAAAGTATTATTAAATATTTGTAAATTAATTTTAATAATGGATCAAATTATTTATAACTTCTTAACTGCTTACCATCGATATCTTGCCTTTTTCCTTTCAAGGATATTAAAGAAAAAATTAATTGCAATAATACTACTCGTTTCCCAAACTTAAAAAGATTTTAGGAAGAAATGAAATTTGTTTAATTTTATTTATTTTGTTTCTCGCACTATTTTTATAATTATTTTATAACCGCAATAAAATGAAAATATTCTACAAAAACCTACACATGACTATTTTAAATTCACTTTCACCATGAGGTGAGATTCAGTTTTGATCATATATATTGAAGTGAATACCGAATTAAATATTCGCTAACAAAAATACAAAACAGTGACATCGTCAAAATTGCTGTTACCAAAACACGAGAATAAACTCCTCAGACTATAACTATAATTATTTTTACATTCATAATAAAATAAAAATATAAAAACTTATTTTTAGTTTAATTTTCATCAAATGAGGTTAGATATCAAGGCAGAGAGCAGATGTTACTAACATTTAAGAACACTAAATCTAATATAGGGTAATAAGTTTAAAAAACACTACATACATTGATAACACTGCTGCTACCGAAAAACGGGAATAGACTTCTTGGACTGTGATTATTTTTATTCGTGATTAAATTATAATACGAAATGCTAAACATTGCTACTTTATTTTGTATTTCCACCAAATGAGGTGAAATAACAAAGCAGAGATCTTACCGCAAGCATTTGATAATTCCAAATTAGATAGATACCTTGGCCTTCGAAAATTGGTACCTCATGTAGTGCGTGTCTACCAATACTTGAAGAAATGACACCAGAACACCTGATGTGTTTTTGTCCAGGTCTGGTCAGAACTAGGTTTAAGTTTCTAGGGGCCCCTTTCTTCTACTCACTTAGCGATATCTCCAGTATCAGCATTAGCCAGATTCTTGCCTTTGTTTATGCCTCTGGTTGGTTCTAGTTTGACCCTCTATCTACTACCCACTATTACGAGGTTTTTGTGGATTCAAAACGGCTTTTATCCTTAGCTATTTGAGGAGGATTCGTTCTCTCTCCACCACAACTAACTAACTAACTAGATACCTAACAGTGACATCTATGACACTGCTGATAATCTTCGGTAGTGTTCTTGAAGAACACTTCTAATAATGAGAGTAGTGTTTCGAAAATTGTACCATAATAGTTTGCATTAATATGTCACGTTTATGAAACCTATTTAATATTTTCAAAAATAGAACGTTTTTTAAAGTTTTGAGTGGCCTTGTAGTAAATTTTATATAATTCCAAAACGGAATTAGTTAATTTAAGTATGAATTAAGTTTCGGGTTTAAGAGTATTTCTTAATTTTATTATCATATACAAATATTTATTTAATATTACATTAATTTTTTTTGTACGTTTAACTAATATAATAATGAATTTATTCTTCAGTTTGCACCATCACAGAATTATGGATGTAGTGGAACATGATATCCTTATGTCTGCAAAAAGAGCTAAGAAGAAGCTGAGCAAGATCATCGATCTAGTGAATTCAGATATACGGAAGGGTTTCCTTGGTGTTGTTCTAAATGTTCGAAAAAGGAAAATATGTAAGTTCGAGTTCTTTTATATTTGTCTTATATGTCTAATAACAGATAATTCTACTTTTAGTGGCCCTAAAACTGCTAAGACACTGCAAGTTGCGGCAGTTATTTGTTCCAGTACTGGAATCAAAATATGTTTTGTTGGACATTTTTTGTGGTCTTCTTTGCACTGTAAATGAATTGCCAAGAACGTAAGTTCGAAAACTTATATATTAACTTAAATATATATATTACACTTATATATTATTATTAACATTTTATTAAATTGTAGAAATTTAGCTAGGCAAGGTTTGAAATTAGAGAAATTTGTCAGATGTGCTCAGATTCTGCAAAAGAAACCACAACTGATATCTGACTTATATTGCTTACAAGGTAAGAACATAATTTAAATCGATTATTATTATTATTATTGTAAAGTAGGGTTCGTGTACTGCGATCTAAAAGATCTATTGTGTCTCTTAGTCGGAATAGAGTGATTTTCTAAGTCCGATTTGTTTAATGAAAGACAGTATAGGTAGACCCTATCTTTCCTAGTCCTGAATCCTTATGTGATCCATTAAGTACCTTCCTAGGTGTATCTTCCGCTTGTGCATCAGTCCCGGGTACTCCCCAAGCACATGGTATGCAATTTCTCTCTCTTCTCTACAGTATCTGTAGTCTGAGTTGGATTGAATTCCAACTTAAATGCAATTTAAATCAGTAGTAATGTTTTATATTAGTCCACACACACATGTTTTCTTATAGAATTATAAAAATAAGGTATAAGTATAAGTATACTTACTTTAGTAAATTTAGTAAATATTCCTTTCTTTGTTAATGGTAAGAAGCGAAGAAACCTAGGACAATCATCATGTCTCTAGTAGAAAAAAAATGCTATATCATATAAATTAGATTGACGGATATTCATTGATTTGAGTGGCTCTCTAACCTTCATGATTTCGTTTGAGAAATGAATTTTACTATAAATTTATTCATATTAAGTTATCTCATTTTTTGTGTTTAAGCAGGTCATCTATTAAGATATATTGATTAAGGTATCTTTAACCATCATGTTTTTGAATGAAAGACGAATGAAAGACGTGGATTAATATGGATAGCTTCTTCGTTTTCTGAGTTAGCACTCTTTGGAAGCAGTAAGAAAGTTGGTGCAGCACTTAATTGTCAATGATAATGGGTTGTGGAATCTTGATGCCGTCATGTTTCGATTATACATTTATAGCGTGGTTTCTGTACTTGAATGTCGCTGCGATAAATGAGAATGTGGACGACTATACACTCAATCAAGAACATTTTGAGTTGCCCTATTTGCTATTCAAACTATTCAAATAAACCTCTTGAGTTTGAACAGTAAATAGCGCAATACAATAGCTAAAGTGGTTCTGTGGTTGGTTATCACCTGTTATAAGTAAAATCTGCTTTCTTTTTTCAATTTTTCTTCTATTTATTCATCTCTTAATAATGCGGTGTTTGAGAGAATAATTTATATTTATTACAATTACTTAAGTTCTTCCATTATTTCGCGAAATTGACATGGATATATCGACTTTTAGTTAAAAAAACCTCTATATTTTTCACTATATCTCACTTTAACTTCAATATTGTTATTCCAATGAACTTCCAATATATGGATCTCAATTATGTATTGTATTATGTGTTTATGTATGTCAAAGATCTACAAAATAGCTCACTACGTAAGGAGTACTTTTCCGCTTGCTAAAAATTATTACCACGAAAAATTTTTAAGGAGTGAGAATAGGAGTTAGGTGTTAGGGGGACCCAAAGCAGACGAATATTGTGGTCAGAATATTATACTACTTCTTTAAATGACTAAGTTTATAGTCATTTAAAGTCATAGTTTTATTACTAAAACTTACTATAATAAAATAGAATTTGTTTATTTTTAGTGTCCAAACCTCCAGTTATCTGCTAAATGGAGCTTTGTCACTGTCATGGCTGCATAACCATTTACATGGTTATCGACCCATGCCCTCAGTATATTGCCTAATGACAGTACCCGGACACAGTGAAGGCTAATCACCGGAAAAACACAAAGGTATATATTTAGCCCTACAGAACTCTATCCCCATTCGCACTTATATATTACAAAATAATAATATAAGCCTGTTTCTGTACATCTGCGTTTCTAAGTTTATTGTTTTTTCGGTTTAAATCTACAAATAAAAATTCTTTAAAGTGTACAATTAAAATCTATAATTCGTTAATCTCTACAAATATAATTCTTTTTACTTCACTTGCTTGACGATTTCATGGACTCAAGCTAATTGCAAAAGAGTTGGGGTCACACTACTTTAGATCCAGAATCATCTTCGTAGACTCAAGTCTTATTCACAGTGACGAAATAAAGCACAAAATCCTTTTCATGCTCTTTACAACGATCCAGATGTTGTTAAACGAGTTGTATTCGTGTTGTGTTTTAATAAATAAATTACCAGAATGCGTTCTGGTTAATTTTACAAGTGCCATAACACGAATTTTACTTCATGATCGTTTCAAGTTGGCCACTTTAAAACAGCTATAATACGTAAACGAAGTGTTTTTAAACTACCATATCGCGTTCTAGTAGTTTTTTTTCATTTCAATAAGAGTTTTCGGAGTTTGGCTTTAAGGAGAACTATATAATTTGATTTTTGGCATATTTGTAATTATCGATGTGAAGTATAGTACCTTCAGTTATTAGTAAATAATTGTAGAAATTTCGCTGTGCAGAAAGACTTAATATATTTAAGTCTTTTTAAAAGGGAGTTTCATAAAGCATTAATATATATCATTAAAGAAGGGATTGTGCACTGCGACCGGAAAGATCTATTGTGCCCATTAATATATTTAAATCTACTTTTGCATAACAATAGCTATTTAAGATTACAATTGATTTGCTTATTATATTGAGACACTTTGAGACACATTATTGATATGATTTTTTTTATCTTCTTCATTATATATAGGAGTTGTAATAATTATATATAAATTATTATTCCATAATATAATTCATGATTGGGTTTTTTTTAGCGGAAGTTCGCAAATTGACAATAAGGAAATTGCGAGAAGAATTGGCAATCAAATTTAACGATGTTCAACGCCGACTGAACCGTTCAACTGGTGGGAGGAAAAAGAAATAATTTTTTTCTATTGCACAGCATATTGAAAGATATATATAATATCATATCATTAACATTAAGTCTATTTAAAAAATTAAATAAATTTTACAAGTTTGCAACATGGAAGATTCTCTTTTTTTTTTATAAGAAAGTAGTGATATTTTTAAAAATTTATTTTAATTTTACTTGAAAGGTAAGGCTCTTAGCAATATTTTTTAAAGGGTGATATTTGAAAGTGTCATCTTCAATGTTTGAAAAAATGACAGTACCCTTTCTTTCAGCTGCGTATAGCACACATCAGTCTCTCCCAGTGCTTAGTGGACTTGGTGTACGGCAGTGCGTTGTTCTGCTTAATCGTGAAAGAATAAGCTTAGTATTATTATGTATTAAGTATTATTCTGTTCAAGAAATCAAGCAAAAGGTATTATTAAAAGCAAATGTAGTTTAGATGATTTTTGCAACGAATATTCTTTATTTTACTAAGCATTTGATGAGGGAAAGAAATTGGAATGAATAAACCGAGCAACAGAAATTGAGATTATATGAATTAGACTAACATATATATCTGATAGTATTACTAATTCCAAATCTTCAAATGGTAACCTCAGTTAACTATCTCAAATTTTCAAAGTTTGTTGTAATTGTAGCGATTTACAGACAAAATCTATAAGAAAGTTTTCCGAATTCCGTATATTAAGTATTTATATATTGTATATTAAGTATTTATATATTGCTATAACACTTAACTGACACCACCAGCTACTAAAGCTGTTTTAGCGGTTCATATCACGTTTAAGCTGGTTTACAAATAGAGCTAAATTATTAAGCTCTATCTATTATAGTAATATATTTTATCTAACACCAGTTTGATTTCACGATCCTACGAATATAATGGGGAACGAGTGGGCTGAATAGCTAATAAGACGCATGACTTTTTGAAAGAACTTCCCTTTCTTATCTCTGCGGTTCTTACCAGTCGCAGTTGAAAATTAACATGAACAATTTTTGGAATAGGTCTAACTAAAATTGGTGTAATGGGGTTCCAAGAGCAACACAGGCTACAAATTTTAAATTTCATATCTAGAACTATGAATTTAATCCAAGGGTATAAGATGAAAGTAATTGAAATTATATCGGTTATTTGTTAATTTGCCCTTTTAAAAACGTCTACAGATGCTCTTCGCCGATGATTGCGGATGAAACGCCGGAACATCTGAGTATCACTGCATAGTTATGTTTAGATCTAGGTTTAAGTATAACCGACTATCCTACAACTTCCTCCACAAGAATTTCAGCATGGAAATTAGCCAAACATTTACTTTCATAAACGTGTCTGACTGGTTCTAATACACGTAAACCTTTCTTCAAAAATTTATAATATATTCACAGAAATAGTTTTCTGGGTTATAGAAGACCATTCGATTTTCATCCAATTCATCTATAAAATGTAGAAGGAAGCTCATTTAGTGTTCGGTGTCTTATAAAAATGATGGTCTTTAATATTTTTATAAATCATTGACAAATCAAATCAAAATTCAATGACAAAACAAAGAACCAATACTGTTTGATTTTAAAATGGTTTTTATTAAGAACAGTTTTGTTTGAAGATAATACATAAATAATAATAGATAATAAGATGGCGAAGAAGCATGGACCAGAAGCTTAAAGACGCACAGTACTCCTGGAAACAAATCACGAGAGAAGCGGGCAACAGAATAAGATATAGAGGAATTGTTGAGGCTCTATGCTTCACTTAGGAGAGGACAGCAGTAGTAGTAGTAGTAGTAGATAACAATAGACAAAAGAGCAAGTTGTACTTATCCATTCAGTTAATGCACACTTCTTACAAACACATATCTGATTATTATATGATATGTGTACGTATCATGTAAAGGAATTTCGGGGTTTATATCCTATTTGAATAATTTTTAGCATTAGAAGATACTTGATTTGTGTAAAAAAAACCATAGGTAATGAGTTCGTCATACCATGCATTTAGAAAATACATTCTTTAAATTTCCATTAAAATAAATAATTTGCTTAAATTACCAGAATTATTTAATATGATTCGGTATCGCTATCCAATATGTGCATAATTTAATTCGACACCTTTCAGTGCTAATAATTAATTTATGGCTTGGCTTTTGATCCTGAAGGAATAAAATATTCATTAGCAGCAAATTATGATAAATCATTTTTGCCTTTACCTTGTGGCTTTAAGCGATTCTGTATAGAATATCACAACCACATCCACCTGAAGCAGTGCATACCGAAAGTTTTTGGAAGTATGTATTTCCGCTTATTGCATAAATTTCAAGGATAATAGGCAAAAACAAAAAAATATAATATACAAAAATTGAATTCCTCTACGTTCAAGGACAACACATAAAGGAATAATAACACACAAAAATGGTTGCTAGTAACGAAATTTAACAATGGCAGGGAAGGAATGGAACCTGTGCATAGCATAAGACTACGAGCTGCAGTGCGAAGGAAAAGTGTTTTGGGGAAAGTGTGGGGACTTTTAGATGTGGGGAGTCATTACGGTGACAACTTTTGAGATGCCATTCCATAGGATGCATTCCTAGTTACGTGCGATATAACACTGAAAAGTTGTATAAGCGGCACGTAGGTAGCGACAAGACCAACGTGAAGAAAAGTAAAAGTTGCATACAAATTTATTTCCTACCGACGATAAGCATGCCTCGGTGTAGGTGGATAAGCAAAAGGATGCAGTGTTTCTGGTTATTGTTGTTGTTTTGCAAAGTTCCTAGTTTGTGTAAACGTGACCTCAAAAGGTTCTAGAGAAATATTGAAATGTATTTGGCAATATGAACTTCAATATTAATCTACAAAATCTATATATTACGATTTTTATATTAACAAACCAGTTGGAAAAGAATAATATTTCTGGTTACCTGAGATTTACCTGACAAAGATAATATCGAGTCTGATCGTTGTTAAGGCAAGACTCATATTTTTCAGGTTCATTTTATCTCCAAATTGATGGAATATTTCTGGGCTAGTGGTCCATAAACTGCTACATATATAATATATAGTTGACATTGCGATAAATTCCAAAATGTAAATTAATGAAAACCAAAATCTATTCTTTACTCTATAGACTTATTTAATTGGTTAGGTTAATGTATGTTATATCAGGTCATTCAGAAAAACGTTACTCTGCGGTCAGGATCAACTTTTAAGTAACAGGTTTATCTGAGAGTTTTTTCTTTAAACATAAAATACTGTCATTATATATATACGTTGAGTATTCAAGAAAACTTTCTTCGTTCTTTTTGGTTGTTATTTTATAGGGATCGACAAACACCAGGTGATCGACTTTCAAAATAAAACATACTTGTGGTTGATATGTCAATCGTTTTCTTATTTCAATATATAGCTTAAATCTTGCAAATTATCACTCAAATATTTTTCACCGGATATCTTGCAATACTAAGCATATTTAAGAAAATTTTCGATGACTTCGGGACATAGTTTCTAATATCCCAGTCATAATTTGATAGATATTCGTCATAAATAAGATTTTTATTATAAATCCATGAAAAAGGTCAGTGGACGCTCATACCAAACCCGTATTTAACAGTTCACATCACCAAAATATGAAATTATAAGTTCTAGAAATTTCTGGCAAAACAAAGCCAAAACAGAACGTTTTGTGTAGGTTTTCGCTTTTGGTACTGTCCTGTTGAAACCACTTTCATATATCTTCAAATTCCCTGTTTCTCTCTTATCCTTAATTCCTAGTGGAGCATATGGCCTCTATATCTTTCAAGTTTCAAGTTGAAGTCAAAAAAAGTTTGCAATCATTAAAGTTGACGGTTTGCGACACTCTTTCGTCATTTTCAAAAAAGTACGGTATATCAAGTCTTCAAACTAAAAGTCGCACTATACAGTAACTTTCCGTAACAAGTACTAATCTATCACATCTTTAGACCAAAAGTCAGCCTATACAGTAATTTTTTGTAACCAGTACGGATCTATCATTTCTTTAGACTAATAGACTACATAGTAACTTTTTGGAACTTAAGGAGTTTTTCTGAAAGTTGTGGTTTTGAAACAGTGATTTGTAGGTTGTTACTCTCACAGAAGTCACAATTTCGTTGATTAATCTATCCATTACGTGATAAGTAAGCTAAATTTTATACTGGTGGAGATATAAATCCAAACAGCTTCAAAGCTGTATATGTAGTATAATGTATAAATTTGTATCTTTTTCAATACTGATGTTAATAGCAGAACTATTTTGAGTTGAGCATATGTTTTGGTGGTGTCAAGGCCTTAGTACGTTTATCACAGATCCAGGTTATTTGAGTTTTTTCAAAATTTTGTCTATGGTGCGTACAGAAGGACGATAGAATGAAGTATAATTTTCTCAGATGACTATTTTTCTTGTAAGTTTATATTACATTGGTAGGTTCAGTGATTGTTAAACGATCCATATTAAAAGATGTCACACCTTACACTATACTTATAAAGTTTTGGATGATATTCCTGATTCTCGCCGACAAAATGCTGTTAACTTAGGTCCACGATATAGATAACCGCTTACATTAATATTTTTAGGTATATTTTTTTACAGCAAACTGATGGATCAGAGTGCTTGTGTTAAATTTCGACTTAAACATGAAATTTATGGTAGAGACATATTGGGTAGCTTAAAGTATACCTATTGCGATAATGATATGTCACAAACGCAGGTATTGGCACAAAGTCCTTTCAGACTGATCGGAAGAGAATTAAAGATAATATGTAAACTGGGCATTCCATTTTAATTGGATGTATTTAATTAAACTACTAAAAAGTGCAAAATGTTGAGCAAATTCTGTTTGCTAGAACAATAATATCTATTAGACCTATGGCTGAAGAAATAGTAATAAAATATTCTTAGGAACTCTTATGGGTGTTTTGGTTATTCTAAAAGTTTAAGCAATGTTTCTTACAAAAATTTGTTGCTTCTTCAACAGTTCGTAGCGGTACATAATATCACAACCTTATAATGCTTCCTCAGGAC